GGAAGTGAGTGCGCGAGGTGGTTATAAAAGGCTCCTACCCCCCAGGAACGAGGTATGCTAACTTTTGCGCTATCTGGTCTATCTTGCCTTTGAAAGACTCTAACTTGAGCTTCGGAGCCCTTACGCCGGGTTCTCCCCAGAGCTTCTCTTCTCCCTCCATTTCAGGTCCCTGACACCCGGTTCAGAGGCAAGATCATTGACAGCTAAGATCGGCCGGATTGTGCATCATCATGAGATATTCGAAAAATAACTGACTAATAAATTGAAATCATAGACCTGTTATTTATCAAAATTCACGGATTCATAGATTTTCCCAAATGACTGAAGCGAAAATTTTTTATGTCGGCAGACTTTTGTTCTTGACAAACAATTGTGAAAATTAAGATCCGTTAAAATGTTTGGTTCATGGAAATAAGGGTTTGCAATTGGAGTTAGAATGATTCATTTCGACTTCAATTATTTGGTTGGATAGAATTGAAATCCCATTTCTATTTCTGGTGAAATGACGTTCTTGTGGAAATAATCATTTTCTTCCCTTTTTGTGGAAATGAGAATTTTTAATTGATTCTGATTTTGATTTTTATTCCCATTTAAATCAAACATATGGGAGGAATAGACCATTTTGATCTTGATTCCAATGCCAATTCCGCTATCGATTGTGAACCAAATAAACCCTTAGTCTGATATGTATGTTTTCTTTAACAAGAACATTATTAATTGGTCCGTGATCATCATGTTTGGAGATATTAGGAAAAAGAAAAACCCTAGGTTTGTGAAGGACAAGAATGAAGGAAATATTTGTAAAAAGGGTGAACAATGGATGTCTTGAAGGGGAATCCGGATCTACTCTTCACAAACTATTTTTCACATCTTCACAACATATTGCCGTCATGCATGAAAACATATGTTGTGACTTGTGAGGAACCCTCTGTGAGGAACAGATTTGGTTGGAGGGTGTTTAGGACAAGAGATTCATGGTGAGGAGTCTTTCCACCTGTTATTACCGACAATCGTCATTGGTAATAGAGATTATTTGCTTTAAGGTGTAAAAGATGAATCATTGGAACGGAGCAATAGGTAGGTGTTTGGCATCGATCTTGTTGCTTCAGAGATGTTTAAGAAAACTGTGCCATATATATGAGGGTCTGTTGCATTATTTTATTAGAAAACAGCTTATTTTTTTTGTTTGGCATCGATACTGTCACATAGGCTGTTTTCTAGGAAAATAGAACTGGTTTTATTTGATACCAGTGCTGTATAATTGTTTTCAGCATTGGTCTACATTATCCAACGGCCAAGATGATGCCATATTAATGCCACGCCATTGCATCGTTGGTAGACCTATTCATGAGCTGGGTTGGGCTTTCACTCTTAATTAACAAATTTTTTTAAGGCTCGAGCCTGACCCGACCATCAGGCCTACAACTTGGGCTCGAGTCTGAAGTCTAAAGTTCATGCCGCTGCTATCGCTGAAGCAGTTGAACAGAGAGAGAGAGATTATAAAGAAAAAAATAAAAATTGTATATATTAATTTATTAATATATATTATAATAAATATTATATATTATATATTTATATAAATTAGTCGGGCTGGGCTTTTTAACAAATCTCGAGCCCGGCCCGAAACACAGTTGAGCTTGGTCTTTTGGGCCTGAGGTCAGACCCGCGGGCCTAACTACATGTCCAAGCTTGACCGGGGTGCAAGCCGGGTAGGGATGGCAACGGGGCGGGTACGGGGCGGGGCACCCACTCCCCGTTCCCACCCCGTAGCTTAAATCCCTACACCCGTCCCTGGTATTGGGGTGACGATTCCCCATCCCCGACATGTACCCGCCCCGCACGGAGAGAAAGAAAGATTGCAGATGAACTGGCGAACGGAGAAAGGTTGAAGACAATTGCAGACTGAGCCGCACCTCTGTGCTACGGCGGTTGGCGGTTCTACAATGGCGACGACGCCTGGCATTCGGTAGATGAACAGAGAGCAAGCATGGAAGAAGATTGTAGACTGAGAAATTGAGAAGACTTGAAGACGAAGATTGAACTGAAAATGGTTGCAAACTGAGCCGAGCTCTGTGCTACTGCGGTCGGTGGCCGGTGGTCGGCAGTTCTACTATAGTGGCGACACCCGGTGGTCGGCGATTGTGCGAAGGTTGAAGGTCTCTGCGCTCAACGAAGGTTGAATAGTGAAAAGGAAGATGAAACAGGAAACACGAAATTACTCTTACCCTAATACGTTTAATACATTATATATATAAGGGTATAGTTGTAAATTACAACCGGGGTCGGGGCGGGTTTGGGGATTTACAAGTAAACCCCATCCCTGCCCCGTCCCCGGTCTGGGGAAAAAATTCCTCGAACTCGACCCGTATGCATTTGTGACCGGGGAAAATCCGCCCTGTTCGGGGCGGGGCGGATTGAGGACCCGGTTTTGTGGGTAAAATTGCCATCCCTAAAGCCGGACTATGCTACCCGGCCTATGAATGGGTATAGTAGCAAAAGACCGTTTTCCGAGAAAACATTGAATTTGACATTCTTTCGAATTACACTTTCCCAATTTCTAAGGCATGGCCTCGAGTAAAGTTTTTTTTGGAAAAACAATGTCAAATAAAAGGTTGTTTTCTGAAACACTGTTTTTTAGTGGCACCGATGTGGTATCATTTTCTTAAAAAACGGCATTAATACCAAACACCGCCTAGGTTTTAAGATATTTCAAGTAAAAATTTAAAATAAATATTTTTTATTAACTGTTTTTTAGGTGCCGTTAATGGAACGTTAACGTTATGTGGACCTGGATGCGTATTAGGTGTTACATATGTTGACTGATGACAAAAATTCCTTGTGCTTTGGACTGCCAAAATTATCCATAAATGAAAAATGAATATCATCGAATCACTGGGTGGACAGCCGAATTTTTCCTGAAACAGAAACCGACTTTAGAGACAATCATCACAAAATACATACACACAAAATAAAAAAAGACTTTTTTCTAGTTTCTACGACTACGGGTATATTCCTTCCTTCCTGGTCCGTCTACACTTTTCTAGACGGACTGTGTAGGAAACTGAGAAACTCGCCATCACGGTCCGCGGTCTGTCAGTCGTCTATCAGTCAAATTGTGCTATTCTACGCTTTTTAAGTCTATCAATTATACTCTGAAGTCTAGGATCCAAGGAAAAAACGAAAAAACAAAAATGCCTGCTCCAGTTTTGACAGCAGATCCACCGACGCTTTTGATTACATCGATCCTATTGTTTTTGTTGCACTGGTTTTTATGCCGGTTCAGGCGACTGTGTAAGTTCTCCGGCGATGGCCTACCAACGTACCCTCTAATTGGGTGCTTGATCTCCTTCTACAAAAATCGTCGCCGTCTGTTAGACTGGTACACGGACCTTCTCGCGGACTCCCCGATGCAGACAATCGTGATACGCCGTTTCGGTGCAAGACGGACAGTCGTCACGGCGAACCCAGACAACGTTGAATACATCCTCACGACCAACTTTAACAACTTCCCCAAGGGTCAACCCTTTACGGACATCCTGGGAGACTTGCTTGGCTGCGGTATATTCAACGTGGACGGGGAACTCTGGCGCGCCCAGCGCAAGTTAGCAAGCCATGAGTTCAGCACCAAGTCTCTGCGGGAATTCGTCGGGAAGACGTTGAATCAAGTAGTGAAAAATCGCTTGACGCCGGTACTTGCGTCTGCAATGGAAACCGACCAAATAGTAGATCTGCAGGATTTGTTAAGGAGGTTCGCCTTCGACACGGTGTGCATGGTATCGCTGGGAATCGATCCTGGTTGCTTGGATTCTTCGCTTCCCGTATCGGCTCTGGCCGGAGCTTTCGACATAGCCTCCGAGATAAGCGCCAGGCGTGCATCCGCTCCCGTCTTCGCTGTCTGGAAGATTAAACGAGCGTTATGTCTCGGGTCCGAGCGGCGCCTCAAGGAGGCTATCCAACATGTACATGGGTCCGTCGAGGAGATAATTCGCGATAAGAAGAAGCTTATGCTTAACAGAGTTCGTAAGGAAGAGATCAACAACAACAACAGCAATGGCGATCTATTGTCACGGTTGATATCGTCTGGTTACGACGATGAGGTGATTAGAGACATGGTTATAAGCTTCATCATGGCCGGAAGGGACACTGCATCAGCGGCTATGACGTGGCTCTTCTGGCTGCTTTCCTGCCACCCCCATATTGAAAATGAGGTGGTGAAGGAGGTTGAGGCGATTAACACCGGCGACAGTCCATTAGACTACGAAGCGTTGAAGGAGCTGCCATTGTTAAAAGCTTGCCTGTGCGAGTCCATGAGGCTCTATCCGCCCATCGCCTGGGACTCGAAGCATGTAGTCGAAGATGACACGCTGCCGGATGGAACGAGGGTGAGGGCGGGAGATAGGGTGACTTACTTCCCGTACGGGATGGGGAGGATGGAAGGGCTCTGGGGTAAGGACCGGTTTGAGTTCAAACCGGATCGTTGGTTCGTCGAACCGGACAAGGAGGGTGGAGCTTTGAAGGAAGTATCTCCGTTCAAGTTCCCGGTGTTTCAAGCCGGACCCAGGGTGTGCCTGGGTAAGGAGATGGCTTTTGTTCAGATGAAATACGTGATGGCTTCCCTGCTGAAGCAGTTCCAGTTCAAATCGGTTGGATTGGAGGAGCCTGCTTTTGTTCCGCTCTTGACGGCACACATGGCCGGTGGATTGAATGTCCTGATCCGGCCGAGAGGTCGTCACTCGATTTAGAGTTATCGACGGCAAACTTTAACAGACAAAAATGTAGAAGTGACAAAGAAGATGGAAAATTAATTAATAAATCTGATACTGGTTGTCTTAGGCACATTGTGTATCTTCCAATCATGTGAATGACATCGGTTAGAGATCGTGTACAATATTACTTTTATTATTATATAAATACAGGTTAGAATATACTCGTAATTAAATGATTCATAGGCAATATAATATGCGATTTTGGAGATGCCTTTTGGTGGGATTATTTATTTAAGGATGTTTGACTCTAACAACCCTTGAATTTTTCACCAATTTTGATATTAGGGTGTTAAAGAGAATTAGATCACCCGAAAAAAAGAGAGATTTACGGGTCAGATATATGTTCAATATGACTCAAATCAAAGGTTAAACCCTGGTGATATAATATGCATGTATGTAATAATTATAATTTATATAATATTATAAATTATATCTTAAATTATAATAGATTCAAAATATATTCTAGTTTTAATTTTTTATATTAAAATTTAATATTTGAGGCCAAAAAAGACATTTTGGCAAAAGTAGTGGGACTTTGGCGCCTTGGGAATTACATAGATTGGAAAAGTTATTTAAAATAAAAAAAAACATCTTAATTTGACATCCCAATGCAAAGTTATGGCTTCTAGAAGTTTGCATTTATGCAAGGTTTAACATTTGGATATGATACGCCTGATACGGGGTATATCGTATCATATCTTTTAAAAATAGATACGGGATATGCATGGAAATCGTGCATATCGTCTTTCATGTGTATCAGACCTATATCGGGGGTGTATCGCTAGCGTATTGACGAAAAAAATATGGCCAAAAACTGAAAAAAGAAATAAAGGGGAAAATTAAGCTTCTTTTCCCTGAAATAAGCCTTCTTTCACACCCCCCCCAAATGACTCTTAAACTCCAAACCCCATTCCTAAAGTGCTAGATTTGCAAAAATTTGTAAGAAACAAATGTGAATCATTAATTTTGTTTGAAGATTTTTCAAATTTTGAAAAAATATGGTAAAAATAGGTAGATTTTTTCAATTTTTTATAATATCTTATGATATCTTTTTTTTTCTTGAATGTATAAATTTATGTTAATCTACATTTCTTACATTCAAAATCACGATTTTCTTTTTTTGTGTTATCGGTAGATTTATGGAAATTTCATGAAGATATTTGGAGAAAATATAAATTAACAAAAAATTTAAAAATATAATTTTTTCTCTGCCTATAAAGACTAAATATGTTTTAGATCTATGGATTCATCTATCATATCCATAGAGTAATTGAAATTTCTTTAATATTTTTTTTTTATTTTTAGAATTAAAAAATAAATAGTAGTTAACTATATTTTATCATTTGATCATAAAAATTGAATATATTATAATTTTATGGATGATCTATCATATCCACACACCAATTGAAATTTCTTCTTTAATAATTAATTTTTTTTTATTTTTATATTTATAGAATTAAAAAATAAATAATTAAGTAATTATATTTTATCATTTGATCACAATATATCATAATTCTATGGATGATCTATCATATCCACAAAGCAATTGAAATTTCTTCTTTAATAACTATTTTTTGAATATATTATATAATGTTTATTTATTTTTTTATATTTTTTGAAAATAAATAATAAATAATTATTAATTATATTTTCACTTAGAAGTTGTGCCAATGCATAAATTTTGGTTGGATAGGAGAGTTGGGTTTTTCCCATCCCATAAAACATTAAAACTTAAGAATTATAATTTATAAATTATAGTTAAGCATAGGATTTTTAATGAAATTATAATTAACTACAATATATTTCTTCATAAAACATTAAAATATATTAATTTAATGTATATGCACCTCATTGAGGTCTTATATTTAGTGTTGTTGATGTATATGTATAATTTATTAAAGTATTCATACTTTTCCAATACGCTTGACGTTTCCGATACTTGGAACCTTGCATTTCTGTGCTAAAAAAAAAAAAAAAAACAGTCAGTTTTCTAAAACTGAGACTAATTCACCGGTTTTTGGTTTGACTGGTCGGGTCAGCAATCTTGGCTGGTTTTTTATGCAATCTAGTTTTTGGGTATGATCGAACCGGTTAGGGCCTGAGTCACAATTCAACTGGTCTGATCCACCGATCTAGTTCGGTTTTCTAAACATTGATTTTCACCCTAAAACTATAGTAAAAAGGCCAAGGCAAAAATAGACAACATTAGAGATGTGAATAAATCCGTTAGAAAACAAACAAAATAATAAGACATGATGAAGCGGCATTGCTGAAGTGGAAAAAATGGAACATGACAGGTGGGTACGTATCAATTTTTAGGGTTATTTATTTAGATCTTAGGCTTCAAAAAGATGAGTTTATTTATTTTAATTGTTTTGTATGTTAAATTCTAATGTGTCATCTAATGAAGGGTGATTTGGCCCGACCTAGCGAAAAGGGGACACATGGACATGACCTGATCAAGAGATGACAACTCAGCCTGACAAGTTTAGTTCGCAACAATTGAGCTCGGGTACTCAGTCACCTCGGCACAAGGGCTGCCTCGACATCGAGGCACCTCGGTATTCAATCCAATTCGGAACTAAAAGACCGAAGTACCAATTCGGGATCAACAACTCGAATCGCCACTGACTCCCGCGTAACAAACTCCAGAGGTCTCTCCAACGGATCCCGAATCTCTCGAGATCACGATGAGCTAACAGATCCTGACTTTTCTGAGATTACGATGAAGACTCATCCCAACTCCGTCGGAGTCGGAAGTGGAACAATAAGCCTTACCTGTATACTGCTCCTTCGGAAGCGGAACGAACTCTATCTCCACACCCTAGATATCCCGGAGCTCTTTCGTGAGCTCCATGACTACTTCAGTATATAAAGGCACCAACCTCAATGGCGCAAGGTACGCGCAATTTTTCTACTCTCTAGCTCTCTAGCTCTCTAAGCTCTCAAAGTTTTTTAGCTCGCATCAGATTACTGACTTAAGCATCAAAGCGACCTTGCCGGATTAACCACCCCGAATTCTCTGATCTTGTCTTGTAGATTCACTTAGCTCGCTGTCCGACTGAAAACCAAATCATCCTCCACTATTGCTGTTTTGAACTCTTCTATGGTTCTATTCACACCAAATCACTCAATAAAGCAAAAGAGATAATATATATATATAAATTATCTAAAGAGACGACTGAAGTGGATAGCCAAAAACGATAGATTGATAGTTGATTTGGGCTATCGGGATTTATCATCAAGGCATCAAGCATAGTAGTTTAAAAGTTGTGCGTATAGGGCCCACCTCGAAAAGCCAGGAGCTGCAATTCAGCCCTCCCAGATGGCACGAAGTCTTATATATGAGAGCTTTGCACGTGTATATTCCATTTTTTTTAAAATCAAATAGCCACGTTGTCACATTTAGATTCCTGAATGCTACGAGGGTGCAACAGTTTGCTATAATATATTATATATTATATGGGTTCGACTATGATATGAAAAAGATATGATATGGGAAAAACAACTGACTAATAAATTGGAATCATAAATGTGGTAGCCAATCAGGTGTCATTTATTAAAATTCATGAGTGAGTTTTAATTGGTCAAAACTCTTTTCATATTATATTTTTCCTGTATCATAGATTTTCCCATATCATATATATATGACATTGCCCCATATATATTCGACTATGATATGGAAAAGATATAATATCTGAAAATTTTCTGACCAGTAAATTAAAACCATAAACATGATAGCCAATCAGATGTTATTTATCAAAATTCATGGATAGATTTTATTGGTCAAAATTCTTTGGGTTTAGGGGATGGGCTACCCCGTTCACCGTTGTGTAGACCCTTGGAGCAAAGAATAAATAAATAACTACCGAAGTCATGTACATTGCCTCTCTTAGTATTGATGTAGCTGCTTTCCTCTTTGTTTTTTTTCTTTGCCAAAAGGAAAAATTCAGATTGTTAATTTTTCTAGTCTTGCTACCCAACCACCATCATCATCATCATTCTTCTTCTTCTACTTGAATCCATGTTCGATTGACTAGCTGTTAAATATTTTTATGTTGACTATCAATATGACACAACCCTCCTACATTGTCTTCACACCAACAGTGTAAGACAAACTACCATTTTTCAGTAGAGTAGAATGGTAATGGAAAAATGATCAATTGAAAAATGGATACATGTATTTTACAAGTTAATGTAGGTGCAATCTATTGAAAATATCCATATAATAAGGATAGATTAAATACATAACATTAATTCCCATAATTTCCATTTATTTGAATAATTTAGCATAAACTTGTAGTAAAAAAAAAGAAAAAAGAAAATGAAAATGCACAGCAGTGACAGTGGATTTTGATCACTGGATTTGTTTTGAATAGTGACCCCAACAATTATGAGCCATGTCAAAGATTAACAGCAAACCCGAGGATATGGATAGAAACTTTTTCAGAGACAATTTTAGGGAGTGCCAGAACCTTTCTACCTACCTTGACTTAGAATAAAATCGATTGTGCTTATTAATGTCAAAATCAAGCAGCAAACTAGACGAAATTGAAGGGTGATTAACTATGTTAGAAAATAAGTTTATACAAAAATGCATAAACAAACAAATGTAGCAGTTAATTCCTTTGCTTAGGAGACAGCAATGGCGAACCAGATAGGATCTGGATTGACAAATACAAACATGTCTTAGTTAATAAATTAAAGAAGTAATCATGCTGCATATTCCATTAGCCTAACATGCCGGCATTACAGTCAGACCTGAACCCTATCATATGAGCCAGCGATGTACAAGGGACGACATAGGGTACCCACTTCATTGATCTATAGATCCAAGGGAATCCGGAAAGGTGATGCTGAATTGATGTGTTAAGCATCAATATTTAATAGTGCCCTTGGTACACAGTGTGGGAAAAACTTTTCATATAGTTTAGGGAAGGCTCAGTCACATGCTGTTATCAGTGCATGGACCTGAAGGAGGTGGCAAACATGCTTATGACATCTCCTGGGGTAAACATGATCCAATGAATTTTAAGCATCTGATCTTTAGACTTCTCTTGAATGCTTAAAAGAAATTGCCAAAAATTTTCCACAGGGCAAAGTAACGGGGCAAAATCCTATGTTTGGGAGCACAGGACTGTGGATCTGGAGTACTAGTAGTACTCTCTTAGATGGCGGCCTGAGTGCAAACATGAAATGCTTCCTATTATTGAATTTGCAAAGTTTTGATTCATCAAAAACTAAAATTATCCCCATAATTCATGAAATCACTGATCACAAAAGAGTATTTTTGCTTGTCATCAAGCCAGTTCCATTATTCTTTGATCTGATGAACACATACAGAGACAAAAACTATAACACACCTTGAAACACTATGTCAATCAACAATCCCCCATTCATGGTGTCTCCCACCTACAGATTGGAGTGTCCCACCCGAACATGGACCCGGTGCCATGATGTGTTCAGTATTCCTCTCAGGTTCCATATGACCTCCACATTTTCAGGTTGCACATTTGCTGCAGTATCAACCTATCAATAAAAATAGAAGAGAAGCACATTAGATATAAGAATCAACTCCAAGATGCAGAAATGTGCAAAATTAAGTTGTTAATCTAGAACACTGAGTATTCTCTACTATGTATCTACCCTATTGACATGTTTGAGATTCCACGGGGATTATTAACTCATTTTCATATTTGAGATTCCAAGTAGCTGATACTAAAGTAGAGCTCCAAGTACTGAATAAATGTAACGACTGCATACCGCTTTCGCAACTATCTCAGTTATCTGTGGGATGTCAACCTCAGCTTGAAAAAACACCCATGCCCATTTGTCACTGCTTATATCATCTGCAATGTATGGAACGCCAGTCTTCTGGTACCTCGATGCCTCCACCCATGTCTTACTTCCGTCAACTGATATATCCACTCTCTCAATTCCCCGCCCACCTCCAGACACTGCATATCCACTAACAATTACCTGCATAAATGAAAGGGAGAAGAAGAATCTAACATCAGCACTTACACATAAGAGTAAGAAGTTTGTGAATGTTACCACTCAGAACATTTAGAAGCTCTAGAAGATGTTACTAACCTTTCCATGCTTTACCACATCCACATCCTCTAAGGAACAAATAGCACACTGTCACACCACAAAGTTTTCATGTGTCATTCAAATAAGTAAACCATTGATTGCTCAAAATATATTTTTACATGGTATTTTTAGAATCATTAGTACATGTTTTTTGCATTTATCCCTTTCTTGCCATTCAAATAAGTAAACCATTGATTGACTAGGAACCATTTGACATACAAGCTAATTTAGCAACTCTTACTTGGATATAAGCAGTTGAAAGAGTTACTGAACAAAGATAAAAGAGAAGAAATTAATGTAAAGAGATAATAGAAAAACACCTGAACAGGGAAATCCATTTGTGGCTTTCGAGTAGACCACACAATATTGTCCCAATTAACTGAAGGTGGAAACATCTTGTAGTCCCTTTGCATAAAGAAACCCTGCTCCACAGCAAATCTAAGCCCAATCATGTAACATTCACAGGTCAAGTAGACAAACAAAAAATATAAAGTCACTAAATAAATGTTTGAACCTGGCTTTCTTCTGCAATTATTTTGATGGTATCCAACCATTTAACAGAGCGAGCGCCAATAACCCCAGGAACAACCACACGTAATGGATATCCATGATCCCTATTGAGAGGCTTTGGTACAGAAACAAGAAGGTAAATAACAATTATAATAGTTGTTGAAGCATACTTGCAAATGCTGAATACAAACTATAATATGAAAATGGAAGGGGGAAAGACTAAGGGAGGAAAGATACTATTATTTGATTTGAAAACCATAGATCAAGCATGGAGGTTAATAGAAGCCAGGCAAAGAGGTAAGCAGTGGAAAAAATATCAATTATTAACTGATACAGGGACCTTCTGTTATACACCCCTACCACCACGCAAACAAGAAAAAGAAATAGAAGAAAAATAAATACAGAACAGAAAAAAGATTATCCAAATGTTATTTTAATAATTTGAGGAACGTTTTTAGAAGAATTACCAATACATAAAGAGCAACATTAATTTGATATTACATATAATATACTTTGACTACTGAGGATATGATCTTAGTGTAACCCCTAAACCATAATAAGTCATAACCCTATCATTGAAATATGCATGTGATAAGAGTATCTTTGTGTATGTGTTGTGTCAAGAAATATGCCATAACAGGAAAAGGTTGAAAGAGAAAACAATATTCCAAGTAGAAAATCCACAAAGGTCTGATACTTCCAAGAAGGTAAGATTATTCACCTCTCCATTCATCTCATATGCAATCAAGACATCAGCTTCAGGATTTGTTGCCTGAATTAATGGGATGGATGCCTTATAAGGACCTCCATTCTCTTCCTATGAAGTCCTCAAATGTTACAAAAACAGTGAATGGCAGAAAATCAGTCAACCGGGCCATAAGGAACTCCAAAGTACAAAATAAAGTTCCAGAATAAAGTATAATAGTGTACTCACCTTACACATATCAACACTTATAAATTCAACATGTTTTCCTCCTGATGGGGTGCTTTTTGTCAGTTTAGGAATCCCCACAAGTTCAAGGACATCTGCCAATTTAGCCCCACCCCAAATTGCTGAAAATAAAATGAAAAAATATGAGAATAAAAGAGAAGGACAACAGGAAGAAAAAGATTTTTGCACTTATTTAACTTTAATGGTTGTATTAATTTAGGTCCCTTCAATAGGCCCTTATCTCCTCCTGTCCTACTAAATTTCATCCCAATACTCCATGTCTCCACCTAGAACTCTAGTTTTTAGCGTTTTATTATATTATTTTTTATCCTTTTTGCAGGATGTACTTGGAACCTTCTAGGCTTGATTAAATTTTCACTGAAAAGCCTCCAATCGTAAACTAGTTTCATTGGACTTGAACCATTTCACAGCTTTGAGATGAAACTACAGTTCTTGCATGAAGCCCATTTACCCTTCCTAACACAACCAATCCTACCTATTAGTTTTAATTTTATTTCTAAACCATTTCAAAATATTTTGCCTAGCTTTATAAACCCATCTTGAGATGAGCCTACCATACACCAATTGATACCAAAGCAGTAAGTCCTACATCATTAGCTCAAGCTAACCAACCCAATTTCTTTCCCATTGGATTGGGTTTAGTTCAGGTTGGCCAAAACTAAGTAGCAACCCTAATTTTCACTATATCAAGGACAGATCAAGAACCCTGTATGGATAAAAAAGACTTATTGGTTTCTTTTGGATATGCCCCTTCCATATATTATACAATTTCAGCCTATCTTTACTTCATATTCTTTAGCAAAAGAGTCCATCTTCATTGATACTATGCCTTTTTGTCCTCACAATAAATGGATGTGTCCTAGAAATCACTTAGCTAGAGTCTAGAGCCAAGTTTTTAAACATTCAAGCCTTCCTCATGTACCAACTAGCACATTATGATATGCCAAGAGAGGGTATGATTCTTTATGGATTCTGATCTGCCGAACCCTACTCAACCAGACAACAAGTTCCTTCGTTGTGTCTCCCTTGTTTGGCATCACATCTATAAGGTTGTAATTTCATTGAAGTCCAAGCAAAAACAACTGCCTGAAATAGCACCATTATATTTTTTAACTAATCCAGCTATCCTTCCTAGCTTAATCATCTTAAAAACAAGTTTGGATAATTCAATCTCCTTACGCAAGGCCTAAGAAGTTTAACAACTCCACTTCCAGGTATCAGGTACTCACTTACCAACAGCATGATTCTCTGAACATAATGTGGACTACTGAAGTGACCTATTAGCTGCAGTGCACATGAAGATGAATTAACTACTCGGCCTTAAGACCAAAAATGGTACCAAAGGCATCAAATAGAAAACCTTACAAGTCTCACCAAGCACCATATTGATCCTAGCCTAGAAATACCACTACCCACCAGGCATGCAAAGCACACTTGGGTATCACCCTCTGGATGGCCCTGTCATAAGGGCATGAGCCAAACAACATGTATGACCCAATGAAAGGGCCCAACATCAACTCTAGCACAACTTTCATTAGTATATTTGCAGTGCTTGGTTTCCATCCCAAAACACTATCCCCAAGTGCCCTGCACTAAATAAAACTAGGTGACCTATTCCTGGATCAACTCACCCCACTAAGGTAACTACTTGAGAAGCTTGTGCCATGTTGCATCATCTGCAGGGGAAGCCACGGAAAACTCTCCCCATTAAGCAGATTTTAAGCTTTTTCCACTTTGCCAAAAGGAAGCATCACTTCTGCAGAAAATGCTACTGGCACATCTGTGCACATTGGATGCTTGAATTATTTATAATGGCATCTCAGTATCTTACAGAGAATCCAAGGAAACATTATTGCTCCAATTAAAGAGACTGACAATGTCTTGTTAGGCGATCTGATCAAACAGCCAGCAGCTTAAAAGTAACTATTGAGCCTATCTTGTGGCCTTCCAGCCTAGTTAAACACTTCCAAACAGAAGACCTTTACTTGAGATGGAAAGACAGCTAACAAAAATTAAAAATAACATCCACAGATCTGATTTCAGGTTTATGAGAGAAAGAAAGCAAACAAACCATTTCCAATAGCAGAAACATCCCAGCCAACACCCTTTACTGTCCTTACTTTGCTCATAGCAGTCCTTCTGTTACCTGCACACTGAATGACTTGAAAGTTGAACCAAATAAGTTCAATGAATTCATGGAATTGATGCAATAACTCAGCAATGCAACATACCTGCAAGGTAGCAGTGACATTGTACTTTGGTAGCTTTCTGTAATTTAAACAAGTAAATTTCTTTACTTAAGCTAGTTTCTATGGAGAATCAAGATATGAGCATTGAAGTTATACATGTTTTCTTCTGACAAAAAAAGTTCACTGATAAAAAGATAAAGAGAAATTTGAACTGGTGCACTGGTGAGATTTGGGATTAAGATTTAGTTAAGTTGATCATTAGTTAGACCGTGCTTCCAAAATAAAAAAGAAGAAAGAAAGAGAGAAGAAAAGAATAAGAAAATTTGTAAATAATGGTTGAAGTATTAAAAGTTACATCTTCACTCACCTGATATCATTCATAAACAGATCCTTAGGATTTCCCAGCAAACCACAGATAGAGACACTATATCTGCTTTGCCAAACAGGTTTTAGTAGTCAGTCAAAAATCCTCCTAAATGTGGGACTCTTCAGAGGGCTGAAAAAGAAAATGTTGAAATGGGACTTTGATAGTGTATGACCTCTCAATGTCATCAACTAGTGGGATTGGCCCATGGTTTCTCTTGTAGAACAAATCTATGGGAGTGATATAAGAGGAGACCAAGGCCGATCGTGGTGGCTCAGCATTGAAAGGCTCCTGCACAATAGAATTAAATTTAATGTTTCAAGGACTAAAGCTTGAATTCGTTTTCATTTCTATCCTAATATTCCATTAGTCTCATCACAATGGACACATCTTCATAAATGCGAAATTTTGCCTGATCTTGCTAAAAAGAAGGATAGCCAAGTCTAATAACGGAATAATTTGAGGTTTAAAAACTTTAAAAATGAATTATACATTTTAAGCTTTTAAATACTCAATTAAAATTCCAGATAAAACCCACATCCATAAAGGAAGCACCAAAACTTGGTTAATCTGGTGACAGAACTTAAATTTTCAATATGTTGCATGTTTTCTGCGTCGACCAAACACAGCATAACATTAACTTTTCAGTGGGAAGCAACTCCTTAAAGTGATTTCCAGGTTGAAAAACACAACCAATACCCAATTTCCCACATTGGTAATGATTTAAACCCTTCCAGCTATAAAGAAAGACATATGACGAAAACCCAAAAGACCTAAATACAACAATCAAGAACCCGATTTTAATATTCACTATCAAAGTTCGCCAGACCATCAAATCCTCGCCTCAAAAGCAGAGAAGTTTCCTCCGAATGAAAGAACAACCAAATGTGAACAGAGAGCAAGAAGAGGCATAATTGTACAGATACCCCAGAATCCAAAAACAAGCAGACGTTCTAAATTTATTCAATTCACGTATTGCAGCTCAAAATAAAACATTAGAAATGATGAACGAGTAGATAAAGATATGGGTAGATGAGGAAGGATGAATAATAAAAGATTTAACCTTGGAATTGACTTTCAGGCATGGGTGACGAAGGGGTTCTCGCGAATACTCGGTAGGGCCACGGATTCCCGGCATTCTCAGAAACCAGAACTTAGTGGTTGGTTCGAAGGCTTCTCCACACAGAGAGACGATCTATCAACTATCAAGCTTCGAATAAAAGGAACAATGATCTGTGGTTTATAAATTTTAAGGTACGCTACCCACAACCCGCCAACGCAGGAACGAGACCAAATCAGCCCCCAGAAGATTGCGCCTCACAACATCCCACAGCACATTCCCGTCGTTTATTGGACACATCTCTGTGAGACGTTGTGAGGGGCAATCTTGTGGGGGCTGATTTGAACTCCCTAGTAACAAAAAAACGAAATGCTACTCTTACGCCAACCCTTGGATTTGATGACTGGTTTATGTATGAAAAAGGTCTAGCTCTGACTGTTTGACCGTTTTAAGTGAAATTTCTCTACTAGGTGATTGATACAATACTTTGTGTTTCACACTAGAGATCGTAGGCCCTTCTATCCAAGGAAATATTCTCTCCCATTTCTGAACCCCTAAACATGCAATGGATAGCAAGTAAGTAATATATTGGCCCCCACATTGAGACCTGAGTCCCCACACAACTTTTGCCTCTAGTAAGAATGCTCTGGCCTTTGTATCGAGGGAGACCCTTATAAATTGCCAGGTGTTGTGTAATATAGTCAGATTCTTGTCAAGATCTTTGGTGGATCCACCTAAAAATATCTAATAATTTACACGATCTTATGGGCTTATCCATTTCATTTTAATTCAGAGCTAACGATACTTGTAAATAATAGAATTCTTCCCATATTAGAGGTAAAAATATTGAATTCACACTAGTCTTCCTCATCCATCGTGGAAAGGAGGGTTTCCTCCTCTTTAAAAGAAGTTCGTGAATCTGGATCACTTTCCAATAAAATACATTCCAACACATGATCTGACACCACATGTGGTAGAGTGTTAGAATCAAGATTTTTAAAACTTTACGGGACAACGAACTGGGTTAGGGTTCGGTTTTTGGGTTGAATGGTCCAATTGTTTAAATTGGACAGAAGATTCATTTTAATAAAAAAATTAAAAAAATAAAAAATAGTCAAATTCGTTAAACGAAATAACAATTTTTGGGTAAAATGGAACCAGTTACTCTGATTTTTCCAATTTGACCATTCGGTCCAGTTCGATTTTGAAAATCATGATTAAAACGTATTCTGTTTGCAGGTAATCCCAACTCGAAGTATGGGGTTGTTATGCAAGAACTTGTTCAGGACATGGAAGGAAAGAACGGAAGGATATGCAATGTGAAGAACATGAAGCCAGATAGTTAATGTGGTCAAATCAAGCTTGGAATAGAATGATGGGATGAGCCGTTTCTACTTGAAGAATGAAGAATTAATATTATAAGCCATTGGCCACATTTGATTTGCAAAAGAATCATATCGGTGATGCAAAGAGAGAGGGAGAGAGAGATAGAGTCACCTTAGCATTGATGATGAGACAGGGATGACGAGAGGGTTCTTGGGAATAATGAGGGGGGCCAATGAGTCCAGGCATTCTCGCTCAGAGCAGAGCTCCTTAATTTGTTATATTCAAATCAAAAACAAAAAGAAAGTAAGAAGATGAAGATGCCTCCGCAGCGCCAGCAAAAGCGTAAGGAGAAAAGGGGGAGAAGTAGGGAGCCCTATAAATTGCAAGTCTGTGACTCTGTGGTGTGTGATGCGTTCAATGACGTTTTGGGACGAAGATGTCGTCACAAGATACGTCACACTCCTTTTAGTTTAAGCTTTATAATACAATAGCGCCACCCTGCTGCTATAGTTTCTACCTGACGCGGCCGTGTTATCTACCATAAAAAAAAAAATGATTCTTTTCATATATATATATATATATATATATGAAATTTGACGCCTGTCTCTCTGCATGGGTTTCCAGTTCATCAGCGTCACGACATATGAAAGGTCCAACCATGAAACCATGAAGGAGGGTTTGTACCTTCCCATGTGAATGTTTTTTTTTTCTTTTAAATTATGACGTGCAAGTCAAAAAAAAAATAAGGATAGAAATGATTTCCTATAGTGTTAGTTCTAAGGGTCCGTTTGCTTTACAGTTGGAATTGGAATCGGAATTAAAATCCTTTAGAATTAAAATCAAAGTGGTATATTCTCATAATGTGTTTGGTTCAGTTAGGAATGAGAGTGGAAATTGAAATCAGTAGAAATGAGATTTTATTTTCAAGAAAGGGGTAGGGAATGGTCATTTCGTCAAATAGGGGAATGCCATTCTAGCAAGAATGGGAATGGGATTCCGATTCTTAGGGGTGAGCAAAAAAAAACCGAAAACTCGAATTGACCGAAATCGAATCGAAAAATCGGTTAACTGAATCGGTCGGTTCGGTGTTTTTAAAAAAATCGAAGGTATTGGTTCAGTTTTGGTTAACCAATATAGAAAACTGGCGGTTAACCGAACCGACCGATATACATATATTTCTATATACTTTATATAAAGTATATTATATTATTTATATATTATAAATTAATAAATATGCATTATATATAAATATATATTTATAATATATTATTTATTATTTAAAATATAGTATTTTATATATTTATATTTTTTATCATATATATTATAAAAACTAAAAAACCAACGAACTGAACCAACGATTAATCGAATTGGTCAATCAATTAACCAATTGGTTTTGATTCGGTTCCGATTATCGGTTTTCCAAAAACTAGTAGTACCAATTAGATTCTAAAAAATGCCCCACGGTTCAGTTAACCAAACCGTGAATACCCCTACCGATTCTGCCCAATCAAACAGCTAGAATCGGAATAGCCTATTTCGATTCCGATTACAAACCCTTATTCCTGTGAGCCAAACGAGGCCTAAGTTTGTAAAATATCAAATCACATTTAAAAGGATTTGAATCCCAAGTAAGAATGAAAAATAAAAATAAGAAACTAGAGCTTAACATCCATTAGGTCAGAATCGTTATCTGAATATCAAATGTCATGCATATGAAATTTAGTCTCGATAAATACAAACATGAGTATATCTCAATTTGAGAAGAATGCAAATACGTACAAATATATATATATATATATATATATATATTAAAATGCGAACAAGTTTTAGAAACACAAATGTGGGGTTTTGGATTGAAAAAGTGCAAATACAAATATGTATAATAATATAAATATAAAATTTAGAAATAAGATTTTGCACTGAACATATATTTGTATTTACACTTTTTCGAAACTGAGCCTAACGCGTGCAAAACCTTGTTTAATTACAGATTTATGGTATTTATAAACCTTGTTTCAGTTTTTGATACACTACACAATCAACAATATGTTTTCTGTTTTATTCTTAGACCTTTGTTTTCGAAACTTAACTCACGTTGGATAATCTATCAACTAGTTGTATGACTGATAGCTAGGAGGAGACAACTGATTCACCCAAATTAATTAAACAACCTCAATGCATCTATTGAAAGGTTTTATATCTTGCATGGCCAATTATCGTTTAATGTGTTTGAGTTAGTTGAAATGTAATAAAAAGCGATTATAACTTTATTAGGAATACCTAAGCATAAGAGACTCTTATGAGGTATTTGTCAATGTGTATGGTTCTGTTCTTTAAAAAAACAACTGCTACATCCACAAACTAGACCATAAATATTGACAAACACCCCCTAAGTGAGACCCACCTAAACAGATTAAATACAAAAACTCAGGTTGGTTTAACAACTGCAGTTGAAGTAATTATTGACATCAGTTGTCACAGTGCATTATAATTTATCACTAATATAAAACTGGGATCCTAATTCTTTATTAGATTAGTGTGAAGCTATATTTTATGGTTCAAGGTAAAGGTTATTGGTAGCAGGGGTGTCAACTAGACTGGATTTGGTCCAATCCGGTTCAGTCCAATGTGAATCTATTATAAATGGATCAAGTTCAATTCAATCCAATTAATGTTAATTCAATGTATGGACCATTCAATCTGTTTAAATTCATTTTGATTTAGATTGGTTTCAACTCAAACCTGATCCATTAAAACATATATTCTTATCTTATATCAATAGACCAAATACTGGCTTAATCCAACCCAATCCAATATAAATTTGTTATGGACAGACCAGGTCCAATCTAATCTAATAAATATTTTGGACCAGATTGGTCCAATCCAATATGTTTTGTTGGTCTGTCCAATCCATCCAAATTAATTTTGAATTGAACGGGATCCAATCCAAAACCGGTCCATTGACACCCTTAATTGGTGGTGAGAGGATAGAATTTGGTAGAGATGAGGCCCACTATCCATACCAATATACCATGGAAAGCTTGCACCATATCTCGGCTTTGGAAGCAATGCAAAGTCAGCCATTGAAGCTCAAGATTTTTCTAACTGCTACGATATTACTTAAAATAAAATATAGCATACAATTTAAGTTGGATAGTGGCTATATTCTTTCTTTTTTTTATTATTTTGGAAGTGAAGTAGTCAACAGATCAGATAAAATGTTGATCCAATTCCACTGCAATTGGTTGAGCCATTCCTATCCTAAATGATGCATCAATTTCCATTAGGATTAACTTCAAATGAATCAAAATCATCCTTACTCAGATCCCATTAATTCCTGATACAGTAGTTAGGAGTGCTTACGGTTCAATTAACTGAACTGTGAGGTATTTTTTTAAACCAAATGTATTATCGGTTTTTTAAAATCTCTGAATTGGAATTAAACCGAATCAACCGATTAACCGGTTTTGATTCTTGATTTTTTTGATTTTTTATATTATAATATATATATATATATATAGTTTATTCGATTAACCATCGATTTTTTAAATTAACTGGATTTTTTTCGATTTTTCCATATTTTCTGAACACCCCCTAACGGTAGTAAAAAAACCACAAATGTGTCAATTATATAATTAGGCCTAGAAGACATAACCTAATTTTGTCGTGTGGAAGAATTCTGCTGTGAAGTTACAGGCCACCCATCAGAGAGATCCTATAGATCATCCACGTGTTCATTCATCTAGTTCGCATGATGCTTGATTGCTAGACCTGTTTTTGACCGGTTCTGTTATTTGATTATGTCCATCGGTTTCAGTTTTTGACCGGTCAAAACCTATGGGCCTAAAATTATGTCCGTCGGTTTCAGTTTTTGACCCGTTCGGTTATTTGATTTTTATATTTATAATATATATTATATAAATATATGTATAATATTATATTATAAATAATAAATGATATATAATATATGTATATATTATATATATAATGCATATATATTTATATATAATATATAGAAAATATGTGACATGTATTTAAAATATATATATAAAATATACATATAAATATATATACCAGTCGGTTCGGTTAACCATCGATTTTTTTGGAGTAACTGAAAACCGAACCGATTCATCGGTTTTTTAAAAGTATCAAACCGAAACCAAACCAATTGGTTTGATTAACTGTATTTTCCGATTCGATCTTCTCAATTCGGTTCAGTTTTTTCGATTTTTCATGGACATCACTAACTGTAACAGCACTAGCTTATGAACCCTCAATGAAATATGGACACGCCAAGCATCAAATGGAAAACTGGGCTGCTATAAAAAGGAAAAAAAAAAAGGTTATTGTGTTCATGTCTTTAGGGGTCGAAGCCAGAGAGTAGCAGAGGGGAATTCACATTACCTGCAACCGTGGTCGTAAAACAATCCAAAGACCTTCTAGTAGGTGTTTGTCATCAATGCTATTGCTCCATTTCTAGAGAAAGGTATGGCTTGAAAAAAATATCCGTCTTTTTACTGTTGTTAGTAATAATATACTGACATGGGATTGAAAAACACCTATATGACAGTAAAAGCAATGGTGTCAAATAGAAAATCTGAAAAATGCTATGAGAAAAACAACATAACAATGTGACATTAACTTTTGAGAAAATATATTTCAGAAAATGACATTAATTCCAAACACCGTCCTAGTTAATGTGATGCCTTAAATTTATTGCAAAATCCTGTTTATATTTCATTAGGGGTCTTGATTATTCTGCGGCAATGGTTGCAGCGGAAGGAAGCCATGTATAAATATAATCCCATCCACTTTCACTTTTCAGCAACTCCTGCCATAGCTTTTGGCTCCAAAAGATTATGTGGTCTTAATGTTTCATTTTCCGGTTGGATATATTATTTCACAAGAAACATTAATTTTCCTCCACTTGAGGTGCAATCAGACACAACTGATAGGCATGAGAAACTGTGGGCGTCCATAGTTTCGCAGCAAAATGATGATGGTATCAGGTCCATTTTTGGAAACGGTGAATTCCACTTAAATTGCACCTGATTCGTTATCATGTTTATAATTTCAACTTATTGATCAGTTGTTTTTCCTATATCATAATCGAAATAATAGTAAGTCTCAATTGATAATGTAATCAATTGTGGTGTGTGCGTGAGCGTGAATATTCTTTCATTTGTACTATTTGGATTTAATCTAGCACATGTATGGACAAAGTTTCATTAGTTAACGAGTCTATAAGAATAAAAAATTCCTCCTGGTTCGTTTGCGTCCATATGCTTGACTAGTTTAGTGTCAACTGACAATCGACTGATTGGGTTTCCTCATGCGAATCGAACATCGCAAATTTGCATTTGACTAACTCTGTATGGCAAGGGGAAAAAATTCGGTTCGACTCAAGCTGGAAAATCTTGGTTTGGTGCAAAGTGTTACGAGTGAAGAGGTAAGTAGGAGATTTAAATCTCCACTTTGATGTTATGACTTGAGATTAATCCAGCTGAGAGCAAGGTTTAAAGTATCGTTATCTATCAGCCCGTATCGGTCGATACGTATCGTTTCGGGATCTTTTTAATACGTCTCTACAGTGAGCATATCGGGGATCTGACTGGTTCAGGGGATGGAGGGGTCCTATACCGGCTTCCCTGAACCAATTTTAAAAAAAATAAAGAAAAAGGTAAAAAAATGAGTATCAAAACGCCGGATACACCCCTACCAATGTATCGGACATATCAATATTTTAAACCTCAGTTGAGAGAGAGTGGGCAAAGTGTTGAAATCTTAAAGTTCAGGGGATCTTTGTAGCAAATGAAAGTTAGTATTACTACTTTTTTAAAGTACACGGTGATAATCGATAATTTACCCTTCTAGATATTACCAAATTTTCAACTACTTATGGCTATTTTCATCCTCATCAACTTCTATTCAATCATACCATTCTTTTTCCTTTTGTTCTTTTCAGCAGTATTTAAAAACTAGTTTTTTCCTTTTGTTCTTTTCAGCAGTATTTAAAAACTAGCTGAACTGTTTTTGCCTCTGGGTCACAGGTCACCCAGTTTGACTGTTTAGATAAAATGAATTAGATCATGCTACACCATATATAAACATGTATTATATCAAGAAAATAATGTATAATTATATTCTATACATAATATATGTATATATGTATTAATTTATGTTTAAAATATATTTCTATTTCAGTTTGTTATGTTTTATTTGAAAAAAAAAATGTTAAAAATTGAGATCCAAGGCCAAAAGATGGTTTTTTCTAACAAAAAAAAGCAGGGCAAAACACATTTGAAAGTTTGCATATGTGTTTAGTGTACAATCCATGACCCAATAACTAGGTCGAACAGGTAAACAGTTCAACCTCCTAGATCAAACCATTTTTAACCGGATCAACAGTTTTTTACCAAACTTCTGATTGAACAGCAGGTTGAAAGCATTGCTCTTTAGCATATAGCATAGATAATTATGTACAAAACGGGTAATTAGATTATTCACAACAATTGGACTTGTTTCTGATACAACTGATGTGACAGATGTATATAGCATAAACAGTGTTTGCTTAAGAAAATTAAATATTGTTGCGAGGGTTCCGAGGATCAGAACCCACCAATGATTTGGTAGCACCAGATGTTGCTTCAACTTCAAGTACAATCACTGTGGTCAGGTAAACTTTTTCTCCATTGAAATAAATTAAGAACATCCCTTGAGTTTGATCTTAGCCAAAATACAAAACCAATAGAACTTTCCGAAAAGGAGCAAAGCATATTTTTGTTTTTTTTCTTTTTTTAAGTAGGGTCAGAGCCGGTTACTCGGTTAGACCTTAGGATAGGTCGTAGGTCCAGAGAGTCAGGTCGATACCATCATAGGCCCAACATTATATAATTCTTTGTGTTTGGCGGGCTTGGGCCTGAACATCCAGCCCACAAAGCATGAGACACCAACACGTTCTGAAAAGCATTATGAAAGGAATGCAAAAACATTTGGATACAGGATACTACTTGATCAGGCTTCATGGGGAAGTACGTACAAGAAAAGAGAAAAAAATCTACAATGTAAATAACAGCAATTGACATCACAGTAGATCTAGACATTTTCCCCGTTTTACATTAGTTCGAAAGTTCATCAAGTAACAAAAAGACTCGGATTTCTAAATCAGATTAAAAGAGGTACAACCTCCTGGCCCCGAATGCGCACATATATATAACAGATTCCTCTTCCCCCCACCCCTCAAACAACTCCAACAATGCTTTTTGTTATTGTTGTTGCTGTTGATTCTTAAGGAAAACTACGACTCACCATCCACTCTATCACCTTTGAGACGCGCAATCAATTCATCCTGCATAAAGGACCAGGGCATAGTGACCAGGATTGCAGGAAAAAAAAAAATAAATGCACAAATACACATAAATAACAGTCCTACACCATGCGAGAATCAAATAAGAATTCCTCTATTGGCTAGCAACCAGACATAACCCCTTCCTGTCTGGGTTTGGACATGACTAGAAGCTAAGGCTGTGTTTGGTTCGAAGGAAAAAGTAGGGAAAGGGAAGAGAAAGGCAGGGAAACCTATACAAGGTTTGTAAAGGTTTCCCTACATTTCCCTTCCTTTCCCTACCTTTTCCTTCAAACCAAACATAGCCTAAATGCTGGCAGAGTGTGGAAGCCAGTAACAACTATCAACAGAAAAATCCCTTTATCAGATGGAAATGATAACCATTGGGTGATCCCATTAACATAATATTGTCCTAACGTATTTTTATGGGGAAAATAGATGCATGCATACACTAAGAAGACAATATGTTAGTACTTGCCTTCTTTCCCTTGACTGACAGACCCCTCTCCTTTAGAAGGGCACGTAATCTTTCCACGGTCAGACTCTGTAAATCCTTCTCAGGTGCACGAGTACTTGATCCCTCTATATAATTAGCAACCCATTAGGAATCTCAAAAATAAAAAAGGGCATGCAGCTACAAGGCACATCTCCGACTAATAGAACAATATAACAGGGAAACAAAGAGAGAACTGCCTAGATGGAATTGTTAAATCAATAATGTTATAATGAACTTATAAAAGCAAGTATTAGCTCAATAACCAAGATATCAGAACTCTCTGAAACTACCATAGCAGCTTCCTATGCACTCTGAAAATCCTGTTTAATCTACTATACAACCAAGTCAAAGTTATGGTCTGGCGAAAAGTAAATTCAACAATCAAGGTGCTAATCCAGAAACCTAATTTCATCATACATTTCTTTAAATTAGTATACAGTTTTATGGAGAAATCTTATAATAAATTAAGATTTTCAAACACCAGCGCTGTGAAATCACTTATCTACCTAGGAAATCATGATGAATTAATTTATTAACAAAGAGGGGAATGTAGAGGCCAAGTTCTTACGTGCCTCAATCCATACTTTCTGCCATGTTGAAGTCACCAAAAATGTTCTGCATCACCACTGAGGTAAGGACATGTATGGTATCTTACTTATGGAACCAAAATTTGGTTTAGGAAATATTTTAGGTTTCCTGGGTTATGGAAAAAGAAGTACGAGTACTTGGATTTTGAGAGATGATACTTTCTGGTGGGTTTAAGGTATGAATTCTTGGCGAGCATACTTCAAGTTGTACAAATTCTTCTCAAGAGATCTAGAACATCCAAGTGCCTAAGCAACTAAAAAATTATCACAACTTACCCCGTCGAGCACTTTCAGAATTTTTGGTCATGTTGGCTCTCTTAACAGAAGCTCTACCATCTCCAATTCTTTCAGCAGTCCTGAAGACGTGAATTGAACTCAATAAGAAAAAGAATGAATTACCAGCTACTAGCTACTGAGCTATGACAGTGTCTGCCTGTGTGTGCATTAGGAATGATTATAAATACTTCATTTTCTTATGAACCCACTACTCAAATGAATTACCAGCTACTACCTACTCTATGACAGTGTCTGTCTGTGTGTGCATTAGCTACTGAGCTACTGGGCAGCGTGCAGAATGAACCCACTACTCATAAAAACTTCCTATCAACATCATTATTGGTAAATAAGTCATGACATCATTAACCAAATTTGTGATGGGAATCCCAACACTTTATCACACAAAGGACATTACATGCTGGTAATCATTTTTTTGTTGATGTGAAGCAAAACATTCATAAGAAACACTGTATTGTTTCACAATACCCACCAGTATTTAGAAGGTGTGGTAGCCTCCAGGCGAGGCACCCCCAAAAGATTTTTATTAAAAATAAAGAAAAATGAGATCCCCCTTCCTCTTCTTCCTCCCCTTCATCCCCCTCCTCTTAAGGAGGCTTTTACGCCTCCTTGTTTTCGGGAGGCTTACGGCTCTTACATTCTGAACTATGCCTCACACCTCTAGGTAGTGGAATGCCTCACGCCACACCTCCGCATTTTAAAACATTAGTACCCCCCCCCCCATACACACATACCCAAAATAGCAGCTCAATTGAAGACACATTTCTCTCTTAATAAAAATCTCAAATACTTGAGAGCAAGGCCCGTTCCATAAGAAGACAACTGGCATCTAGACAGTAGAATAGCCTAGGAAATCCCTCTAACCCTTTAAAAATGCACTTGTATCTCTTAGACTGGCTATAAGTTAACGAGAACAATTATCATCTATAGTTGTCCCATTAGGTTGAATCCAAATATTAATTTTACTTGCAATTTCAAGTTCACCTTTCAGTTCCACATGACTCAGCTCAAACTTATCCCAACTAGTCAAATAGTCTCAATTTCTCTAACAATATTGAGGAACTTCATAGGAACTTGCTAAACAGCTTCACAAGAAAATACGTTTCCCAAATCCACTTCTACCACAACTTGGCAAAACTAAGGGTCCGTGTAGTTCATAGTCAGAATTGGAATGATCTATTCCCATAGTCTGTATGGTTCAGACAGGAATTGGAATGGGATTTCATTCCCAAGGGAGGGGGAGGGAATGGCCATTCCCTCAAATGGGGTAATGCCATTCCACCAGGAATGGGAATGGGATTCCGATTCCACCCAACCAAACAGTTGGAATTGGAATGGCCCATTCTGATTCTGATTCCAGACCCCTATTCCCGCAAACCGAATGGGCCCTAAGATTTCTAGCAAGCTTCAATAAAATTAGCATTATTATAGTTGGTTTACTACAAGATTTTTATAAACGGCAGCAAAAATGGGATTTTAGAAATTGAACTAATGTGCTCTTTATTTCAGGTAATTCAGAACAAAGATGCCTGAAATTTGTTATACAACTCCAAGACCTGGACCTGGTGAGTCCCACATCAAATCATTTCTGTCTACAGTTTCCCTTGCAAGGGTATCCACAATGCTGTTGGCAGATCAAAGGACCCAATTGAAAAAGCAGTTCATATGAGTTGCCAATACGGCAATACCATTACTTCCCTTATCAGGCGTCTAAGGCTGTATTTTGTATTTTTTTGATAGAAAATAAAGAGAAACAGAAAGTCGAGGGGAAGTTAAAATTCATTAGGAACTTTCCCTCAACTTTCTGTTTCTCTTATTTTCTCTATCAAACCAACATGGCCCAAGGGTCCACAGTCCTCTTTAAGATGGCAAGAATATCACAACCTGGGAGTCCCCTTTGATAATAAGATCTGTTCATGTTGATGAATGTCCCAATTTGACTTCTTGTAAGAAGGCAAGTGTTTCAGCCCTCAGAACTTCCTTCACCCATTGGCCCATTTTTGTACAGAACTAATAGCGGAATATTTGTTTTCCTAAGATGGAAATAACAGTCCTTGGCCCTTACCATGCAAATATGGATCTAAAATTGTCCAAGCACTTTATCTTAAACAACTTAACAGTGCTTAACCATTACAATGAAAACATGGCAAAACTATGGTATATAAGGATCTACAGATAACGGCCCTTATCCCTTACCATGTAAGGATATAAGTATAAATTTAGAAAAAAGGAGGAAGTACATCATCTTAATCAAATAATGTGAATGTGGGTACTACAAGACTCATAAACACACAAGCTGCAAGCATGCCAAAAACAATAGGAAGCCTTGGGTATTTACACCAACACCAATTATAGCACATGCACATGAAGGGAAAACAAAATATATTATAAGAGGCATGTCAAACATCATCCATTCAACCGAAAATACAACAAATACCTTTTTCCTTTTGTGCTCTCAGCTGTAGCTTTACCCTTTACATCCTTTGCGCTGGAATCACTTTTCTGTTTCTTAAGCGTGAGAGATCTAATCAATATGTTCATTTGGTTTGTTTTTATTAACTGATCCTCTAGACAGAGAGATAAACAAGAATGAGAACCTCATATTTGACATTCAACATATTCAAAAATGGGGGTATACTATGAAAAGATGCTGAAACAACAAATCCACAGGAAATTAAGGCCTCATTTGGGTAATTGGCAATTTTGTATTGCACTGAGGAAGCCCTTCTTCACCGCCTCCTAAGTTTTTTCTTCTTTTAAAGAAGATACACAAAATGGCAGAACTTACAAGAAAACGTGAGGAAACCTGCAAGATTTGGAAACATAGAAAAGTTTAACGAAGAATCAGGATGCACAAGCATACCAGGGGGTGATGTATCATGATCGCAAACATATACTCGCATTCCACCCTGAACGAAGTTCTCAAGATGTAAGTATTATCATAAACAAAATCAACAAAACTATGACATTTGGAATGTAAAAGGTATAGACCATCGTGAAGCAAGACCAATTAACAAGAATATCAAATGACCTAAAAGTAAAACCACATATTACAAGTACGGTTGACAGATTAAGAGGATACAGGACATGATACAAGAAAATGGTGAGATGAATGCCTAGCTTACTGAAATTTTCCTCATAATGACAATGATTTAAAGTGCCGAGGAAAACCAGAGCCTAAAATCCAGGAAAAAATGACTAGTGTAGATACTTTTGAGAAGAAATTCCTCTGCCACAGAGCTGGGCATCATACTATTAGAGTCATGGCCCTTTTCCCCTTTATTCTATACCTTTTTTATATTTTTGGAAGGGTTGCAAACAGGGGTAACACATTTTCCACATAATTTTTTTTGATAGATAAACAACCATTGATCACATTTTCCACATAATAACAATGATTTAAAGTGCTTAGGAAAAGCAGAGTCCAAAAATCCAGGAAAAAATGGCAAGCATAGATATTTTGAGAAGAAAGTCTTCTGCAACGGATCTGTGCATCATGTTATTAGAGTCATGGCCCCTTTTCATTTTCTTTTCTCCGTTATTCTCTACCTTTTTATATTTTTAAAAGGGTTGCAAACAGGGATCACAACAACCCAACTGCCTGAGCTAGGATGTAGGCCCAGCCATGTCCAGGCTGGGCTAAGCTATGAAAGACCACTAAACTCTGGCCTGGTCCAGTCATGTATACACTAATATTGTTTTTGACCAGTAAACACATCAAATTATTAATTCTCTTACAAAGAATGTTGTTCATGCATACACTACTATTATACATATATATTCTGTTTCTATAATAATAAAAAAAAAAACTAGTACTTATGGGTGTTTTAGTTTACATTTCTATATATTCTGTTTCTATAATAATAAAAAAAAAAAAAAACTAGTACTTATGGGTGTTTTAGTTTACATTTCTAATGAAGGAGCACAACTCTTTCCAATGGCTCTTCATTGGTGTTTGCCTTCATTAACATGATAATGAATATAAAGTGTTTACCAATAATAAAAGTTACAAACTATTACATGCAAAATCTACATAATTCTTAAAAGAAAATCTGAGGCCTACAAGCAGCCTTCATGCATGCATGACGCCATGACCCAAGCCAATTTAAGGCCATCTTGGGTTTTTTTGGTCAGACCCAGTGGATAGGTCTATCTGTCCTCAGTCTGGGCCTTTTTTTATAGATAATAAAGATTTTATTAAAAAGAACACAAAGGATACATATTACAAAATCCCACAAAGAGGCACGAGGTGACGCTTTTAAACTGTAACAAAAAGCTTACAACTGAACCCAAAAAATCTGATTCCTATGTACCCCTTGTTTAGCTAAAGAATCTGCCAACCCATTTGCCAATCTTCTTTCCCATTGATCTGTGAGTGACAACAAATTCTAGCCCTAGTTATGAATCAGCACCTTAGAAAGGAGACATATACAAGTCATAACAAATGGTATGTGGATGCTAAGAAACCGGGACATGTTTGGTAATGCTACATTGGAATGTTTTTTATATTCCAAGGAAAAGGATGTAGTTGACATTTTGTTTGGGGAACACCAGACAGCTATACATGACTGGCTTCTTCCTATCTCCCTTTTTTGGATGAACCATATGTAGAATGTGTAACGAGGTCCAGAGGATTTATTATATTTTGGTCCAGAGGTCCATATCCAAATATGATTTATTATATTTATAGTGGATATGGTCCAGAGGATTATATTTATACGTAGAATGTGTAACGAGGTCCAGAGGATTTATTATATTTGGTCCTGGCCCTAAAGGGTCATTGGAGTAAACATAACTTCTATTTGAGGCTCCAACACTATAAATATAATAAATCATGGGTATTCTATGTGCAGGACCATATCCACTTCATGATTTACTGTCATTGTCAAGAAAATGAGTGCAGGAAATATGAGAAACTGAGATGTAAAAGGTACTTGCAGTTTAATAGCTAAGCTTACTTAGGTGGATAAAAAAAAACAAATGGAAATTGTAAATACTCCAAATGTGATTCCCAAGAATCTTTTCATGTAAGAACTAGTTCGAAATATTATACATACAACCCAACTGAGGTATCTTCCTAGCATTCCCTAGGAGTTTAAAAACAGAAACTGCACATTCCACAAAGAAGTATATTTGATATTTTTTTTACAGTAAAAGTCAAAGGAGAGAAGTGAACCAAAGTTCATTTTAACATGAATTACAATGCCTCTAGACTTATTGCAAAAACTAAGCACAGCAGGTGCAACGATGATAATTAATCTTGTTTTATAGAGAAGAGTCATGCCAAAAGAAGAGAAATACCCAGGACCTAAAAGAAGATAAAAACTAAAAGCATAAAATGTATATGGCTTTAATACAACATTTTAAGTAAGAAACCTTTATCCATTTAAGCAATTTATGTATAAGATAATAAGATCCTTGCAATAGAAATCATCATGTTTATTATAAAATTCTAGAAATTAAATTATTAAAGAAAATTAGCTACAGTTCAAAATCAATTAATTAGTAAAAAATGTATTAAATAATCTGGTTCTAAGAACATTTGCTGACTTTAAAGAAAATTTACTAATCCAATTTATCTTATTAATTGTGGAATAAAGAATAAAGCATATAAAAGTGAGGTGTATTACCTAAGTTTGGCTAGCAAGATCTACCTAACCCAAACTCCTAACAGTCTACAACAATCATTGCGATACAATGCCCCAAAATAGTTGAGTTCTGTTTACCCCTGTCAGGGTCATTTTACCAGGCCAAAAATATTTGTAAATCTTTTTTTTATAATAAAAAGAAAAATATTAAAATAAAAAACGAGAAAATACAAAGGAAGGTGATCAGCAGTCACCCTAGAGAAGAAAAGATACAAACCTCACCTCCGAAAAGCCATCTCCACCCCCCTAAAAAACCAAACAAATCAGCCACAAGACAAATGAAACATATACAAAAAAGCATACCTCCCCCACTAAACAATAACAAGATGTGAACAAAACCCTACAATGAAGTAACATAATTGACCCATTCTTCACAATCTTATTTTGTAGAAACCTCTTTGCTTCTGCAAACTTTTTTCGATTTTTTCACCTTCTTAGAAGGCCCAACTCCAAACAGATCTCCTTTTAGTCTTGCAAACACTTTTGAGACCTGGACTGTTCTAAGAATTTTTTTGGTTGTTGAATCTTCTTATCTTCTTACAGTGTTAGGCTTCTTCATATCCCTCGGTGCCTTTTGAGTTTTGATAATCATTAATTCTTTCCAATTCCAAGACTGTGTTTCTCTCAAAAAAAAAAAAAAAAGTCTGCTCCATCTCTCCCTCTACTCTACAACCAACCCCAACTCCTTTAAATGGACTTCAACTTTTTTTTTATCAAAATCTGACCTTGAATTGACATCAATCTCTTAAAAACCCATACTAAAATCTACTTTATCCTTCAAAGGCATCGGATATATTTCTTTCAAATCTTTAAACATTTTCCTAGCAAAATCCTCCCTTCGAATAATATGTAGCCCCAAAAGTTTTTTTACTTCCACTTCTGTATCCACCACCTTCTCCATATCATTTGTCCCTTCAATTTCATGAGTCTCATCAAGAGTTGCTTCCCCATCATCAGAGTCCTTACTTTCACTCTCCATCTCCTTGACTATATCCTCTTTCTACAAAGGCCATCTCCTCGACTATATCTTCTTTCTGTAAAGACCTTGTTCTATATCTTCTAACTCTTTTATAAATTTTTGGCACCAACTTCTTCCACCCATCTTGGATCTCCACAAAACTATATTTGTCATTATTTATTTGATTACTCTCTGCTCCAAACCTTCCTACAACCCTCCCTTTCTTCAATACAACCCTCTTCCATCAACACCAAACTCCCCTGTCTAGCTGAAATTGACACTCCCCCCTTTTGCTCTCTGGACCACATCTACCTCGTTCCCTCGTGTCCCCATTTCTTCAGATCCACCCACATTAACACACTCACCAGAATCTCTCTCTCCCTATCGGAAGCTTGAAAGTCACCAATAAAATCACCCTCCCTTACTGAACTCTCAAGACTTTCTTCTCCCTCTTTGTCTACCCCTCCTACCAAACAAACAATACTCCCAACAAAAAATCTTCTATCATCCCCTTCAAAATTATTGGATCCCAACTCAGGAAAGCCACATCCCTCAAATGGCTCCCCAAAGCCATTATCAATATAGCCTGAGCACACAACATGAGCAGCCTCCGCAAAGTCAATATTCATCTCAACTTCAACTGCGAGCAGTAACTCCTTGTTGTGCCCCAAATCCAATCTTCCAACGAAGAGTCACACTTTTTCTATTGTCAATGGTCCAAAGTAGGTTGCCTACTTCCCCTCCCATTTTTGGAGGTGAAGTTTGTATCTTTTCTTTAGAAATTCCAAAAATATCTTTCAGCAGCCTTCTCTTTTTCTGATCTTTTGATAATATTCCCATTTTTCAAAAATAATCCAAAATTATCTTTTCTTTCAGTATGTCATCTCTGATTCTGAAATCCGTCCCTAATTTTTCTTTCAGTATGCCATCTAAAACTCTGCTTTCATAATGTTCTTGACTCTGAAAACCTCACGTTGTAGATTGCAAAAAATCATTCTCGTAGATTTGAGCAACATAATTCTCTATCAATGGCCCATCATATGGCATTCCATTTGTCCTACATCGAATTTCCAATTACAAAGTGTCTGATATTGCCCGGAATAACATTACTTGAATCTAATGCTACATACAGACTTTGACATGCACGAGTGTATGTATATGCGTAATCATAACATGTTTATGTACATCAAAAAAGCATTTGTACAACCTAAGAACTGATTTACCCAGACAGGAAATAAATAGCTTCTTAATCTACTTTGTTTCTCTTCGGGTATGAGATGTGGCTACCCTGACATCGAGCAATCTCCCTCAAGTTCTTCATAACTCACCGAAACGAACACTCAGTGCTAACCACTAAAAGGAACTATTCAGCAAAGATCAAAACACACAAAATTCCCAATTCTTGTCCAATCACCAATGTGTTGAACACATCTTTTTCGAATGAAATGTGTATTAGAAAGAACCCCCCCCCCCTCTCCCCCGCGCGGGAAAAAGAAAACTACAGTTAAAAATAATAAAAAAAGCTAGGGTTTTATAGAAAGAGAGAGTACCGGGTTTGAAGAGATGACAGTGGAGGAGAAGAGACCACGAGAAGGAAGGTTGGCAAGGTACTTGGAAACTCCCCCATCCATGGAACTCGAATCAGACGGTGAAGCAGATGCGCCTTCCATCGCGCCTAAAACCACCCCCAGGCGGTCAGTCCTAAATAAACACTGACGAGTGACGACTGCCTTCGGACAGTCCAATCCGTCGTCTACTCCTGTCTAGGGTAGCGGCTTAGGTTGGGGTTTTGTCAAAATTAGGGTTGTCCATGAAAAACCGAAAAATCGAATCGCACCGTAAAATGCAGTTAATCCGATTTTAAATTTTTGAAAACAAAGGAGCGGTTTGGTTTCGATTAATCTACAAAAAATCGGCAGTTTATCGAATCGATCAGTATATATATTTATATATATAGTTTATATATATTTTTAATATATGTCACATATTTTCTATATTATAAATATATTATATTATATTATAAATATAATATATTTATAAATATATTATATTATAAATATAATATATTTATAATCTATTTATAAATATATTATATATTTTTAAAATATTTATAATATATTATATATCATTTATTATTTATAATATAATATTATACATATATTTATATAATATATATTATAAATATAAAAAATTATAAAATCAAAGAATCGAATTGGTCAAAAATCGAAACCAGAGGACCAGTTAACCGGTGGTATCAGTTCGGTTTCAGTTTGGAGAAATGGAAAAATCGGTACCATTGGTTCGTTTTGCAAAATATGCCTATGGTTCGGTTAATGTTTAGAGAATCGGAGAAGGAAGAGGTTTACGGATTAGAGGTTCAATCTGGGTCAGATCAGAGGTTGAACTGTATGGTATATATATATAGAGAGAGAGAGAGAGAGAGAGAGAGAAGATACATGTATAATAAATAATTATTAATCAAAATAAATTAAGAGGTGGATTAATGATAATTAGGTAATGAATGAAAATAGGATGTCATGAGTACAAATCTTATTAAAGACATTTTAAATTTTCAATTGGTTACGGACCTAGGTTGTTTTGAGCCCAAGTTTGATTGAGTTGTCTGAAACCAAGAAGGTTCATACCTGTTTAGTAAGAAAAGCAAAACAAAAGTGAAATAAAGAGAAGAGGAGGAGATAAAGAGAGAATAGAAGAGAATGAGGGGTTCGACTAACTTAGTCTGCCACCCCAGATGATATTTAAAATAGGTCTTCAACATTAAGTGGTACAATGACAATAGTGCCCCTGTCACTAAAATAATAGAAAAAAAAATGTCTAACAATACTATAGACAATAAAGAACATATGAGCAAATGGAACCACAAGCTAGTCAATCATTTTTTCTACACTCCCCCTCAAGTTGGGAAAATATATTGACCATTCCTAACTTGTTTAAATTTGACTCAAGTTTGATTTTGTTGACTGCCTTGGTGAAGACATCGACAAGCTGCATATTAGTGGCAACATAAGGAAGACACATTTATTAAGAGGCAACTTTCTCTTAGATGAAATGTCTGTCAACTTCAATGTGTTTGGTTTTATCATGCTGTTTTAGGTTGTGAACAATGTTAATGGCCGCCTGATTATCAGAATACAATATTAAGGGTCTTTCAAACTCAATTCTCAATTATGTAAAGAGAGACTCCAATCATAATATTTCAGTAACACCATTAGCCATAGACTTGTATTCAGTTTCAGCACTGGATCGAGCAACAACATTTTGCTTCTTGTTCCTCCATAAAGTTAAGTTTCCTCCAACAGAGGCATAATACCCATAAGTAGTTTTCATATCATCAATACAACATGCCCAAAGATAGTTTCTACTGATATGAGGTTGCATGGAGTTGTATAACCAAGTCATAACCAAATAATTTTCTTGAACCCATTTAGTAAGGGAAGGGTCCTCATGTGCTGGTTTCTTTGTGTCTCCCCTCACATACCCCAGTTTTCTCCTCCCTCCAGTGGCCACCACGGTTGATTGGACCCATTCCAAATAGTTTGTTCCATCAAACTTTATTGTAGTAATATGAAATGAACTATTATCAGTAGAGTTTATAGCTCCTACAAGTCCTTATCCATTTTATTGTTCTCATTTTCAGCCATTTCCATAATGAAGTGAATAAAGAATATTCACTGAATGAAGGGTACAATACTGTCCAAACTCCTTTTCTAAACAAAAATTCTAGGTACTGTCCAAACAACACCCAAAGGAAGTAGAAAACTTCAAAGACCTTTTTACAAACACAAGGTGGGCAGTAGAGGAAACGATACTATCAAAAAATAATACAACCCAAAAAACAATCCGTACAGGTTCCCTAAACAGTCCAAGAAAAAAGACCAACCAGCAGTACTAATTCTAAAAATATTTCAGCCACTTGAAAGTCCAAAAAATATGAAAACAACCCAGAAATTTCTAGGCTAAAGCAGTCTAAAAGAAATTTCGGACACTTTAGCAATCTAGAAAAAAAACCCCAAAAATTATTGGGCGCCACTCTCAATCTTTGATTTAAGATCTAAATCAGAAACCAACTTGTTTTCTCCAATTCTTCCTGGTCACCAGACAACTCTTCAAGATATTTGAGTCTTGGGCACCTTCTTCAATCTCCAATGACCTCCAAGAACCAAGAGATTCAAACTGAAGCTTCCAGCCCTAGAACAACTCTAATGTAGTCGGTTGGACAACACCTACATGAGAGCCCAAGCCAGGTTTAGGCTTGCTCTGATACCAAGTTGTTTGAAACCAAGAAGGTTCAGACCTGTTTAGTAAGAAAAGCAAACTAGAAATGAAGAGAAGAGAAGAGGCAGAAGAGAGAATAGAAGAGAATGAGGGGTTCGACTAGCTTAGTCTGCTGCCCAAATGGTATTTAAAATAGGTATTCAACATTAAGTGGTACAATGACAAGAATGCCCCTGTCACTTGAAACAATAGAAAAAAAAAGGTTTAACAAAACTATAAACAAGAAATAACATATGAGCAGATGGAACCACAAGCTGGTCAACCATTTTCTCTACAGATTGGGACCAAATATATGAATAATATAAAAAAAAAAAACATTTCCAAATATGTGTATGTATTCTACATAGGCTAGAACTTGGGTTGATTTAACCAAACCCGACGTGAACAAATTTAAATTAGTTTAGATCGAGTTAAAATTTGAATTAGATTTGAAAAGTATAAACCCAACATAACTTTGGATTGGATTAGGGATGAGGCCTTGGATATACCTCAATCCAATTTAATTTCATATTTTTTAAGATAAATTATAGATAGATTTGTATTTGAGGGTAACAAGAAATAGTACCCTAAAATTTCAAATGCAACACTCGATTATTATGAACTACACCCCAATCCAACCATTAATATTCCATAAGTTATTCACAGCATGTCATGTGAAGTCATGTGCGACCTTAAGCATTCTAAAATCTCAAAACTACATTTTTCGTGTTTCTTAATTGTAAATCTTTCTCCCTATTTTCATTTTCAACCCTGAATTAAAGCAAATGTGGACCAATCAATAAAAGTTTTTTAGACCGTTTCCCTTCTTTGAACTCTTAATTGTAAATATTTTCTCTCTATTCCCATATTTGATTTTTCATAGGGTACGATTTGTACTTTGGCGGCAATGACAGAGGTTTATTTTGAAATCCTTATTTTTTTTAGACTTAATTCTTAAGCTTGAACCATGGCAAACGTGGATCAATTAGCAAAGAAGAGAAGGGGTTCATTCTCATGTTTGATTTTTTCTTATTTTTGAAACTATATTGCCCTTTATCCTCTATGAAATCATAGTTTTGAGTTCTTCATTCTCAAGTTAATTTTTTATACTTTTGAAATCTTTAGTTTTCTTCTTATATTTCATTCCCAGGTTATATTATCAAGTTTGATTGGTCTAATAACATTCTTAGGTAAGAGAAGCATGTTATTAATCTAGGGTTGTAGAAATGATAATTGTATGCTACTCCCATGCATGCAGCTATTATCCTTTTTGTAGAATTGGACCAACCCCACCTGGGCCCGTTTTTTCATGGGAATAAGGGTCTAAAATTGGAATCAGAATGGCCTATTTAGATTCCAATTATTTGATTGGGTGAAATTGGAGTTCTATTCCTACCTCCATTTGAGGGATTGGTCATTCTCTCTCCCTCTCTTAGGAATGAAATCACACTCCGGTTGATTTTAATTTTTATTCGGTTGCCTGTTTGAATCAAATAAACAGTGAGAATAGACCATTTCAAATCGGATTCCTACATATTTTAATTTCAATTCTGATTCCGATTCTGATTATGAATCAAATTGACCCTAAATGAATTGAGCACTTTCACCAGTCAAAGATCATCGAATGATTTTACCAAAGTCTCTTTTTATTTTTGTTTTTGTAAATAGAAAAGAAAAAGAATCAAGCTGCTCATGTTTTAACCTGGCATATAAGGCTCGAGTAACAAGTACTCAAGCAATTCTCAGCTTTAAAAAAATAATGGAGTAAAAGTTTATATTTTTCAAGGAAAAACAACAACAACAACTAACGGAGGGCTTAACAACCTTTGCTGAAATCCAATTTGGTCCTCACAAGAGGATGTTCATATTATTTGTACAGTTCCTTGTAACCTTGCATTTATTGGGAGCATCTCTTCATGAAAAAAAGAATACAAATACCGATATATTCCCAATACACAACTGTAAAAGGCTGTATAAACGGTGTGAGCACCGTCTTGGGAGCACTAAAGCTGATCTCACCTTTGCTAATTTCACCAGTCTTGTGGACACATGTTTGAATGTTATTGGGTTTACTGCAACAACCAAAACAACTTATTAGTTAGAGAAAGAGAAAGGAACTCGTTCAGTTAAAGAGTTGTTGTAGCGTCTAGGTAGGTGGTTGATTTGGAGTGCATGAGCAAACAGTTTAATTTCTTCTTCTTCTTCTTTTTCACATTGCAATCTGGACTTTCTATCAAAGTGGTTTGGCCATGGATTTTGATGGGATTCCCAAGTGCATCCTCCATAGCGAAGCTCTCAAGAAGGTTTTGTCCATTATCACATTCTCTACGCCTAATTTAATATTTTTATTGTTTCTCTTTCTCCCTTCTTTTCCAAAATTAATTAAAACTATCTTACGTATCCACGATTTGCAACCCATCCATGAAGTTTGCTGGTTTAACTTCAAGCCCCAATTTGGTCAATTTCTAATCCTCTTCCAGAGAAATTTAGGCTTTAACAAGTAGAGTTCCAAAAACACATATCAAAGTGCAAATCTTGGCTCATTGATTAACGTATGTAACCCTCTCTTGTATGTGGTATTTCAGTACATCTTAGATACAAGCGTGTACCCAAGAGAGCATGAACAACTCAAGGAAATCAGAAAGGCCACTCTTCAGAAGTATGGGCATATGTACGTAAGTTTATGTACTCACTCTACCTACCGTCTTATCTTATTAAATAAGAAGAAGAAGATGAAGATGATGATTTCTGTTTTCTTGTTCTTCTTTTCAAAAGGATAAATGGGTTGCAATATTGATTTACCATCACCATGGTTCATATATGAATTTTATTTGGTCAATTCCTTCTATTTAAAGTCATATCCACTATTAAATTATTAGTGTCTAAATAATTTTAAATATAATTTTACCCATTTTTTTTTTGTTTATCTCTTTCTCTTTTAGGTCTTCAACTTGTAACAAATCATTTTTTCTAATTGAAGTTATTGATGGTTTTTATAGGAGCATCATGAACGTGGCAGAAGATGAAGGGCAATTCCTGTCAATGCTTTTAAAGATCATGAACGCCAAGAAGACATTAGAGATCGGGGTCTTTACGGGTTATTCTCTTCTCACCACTGCTCTGGCGTTGCCTGACAATGGCAAGGTTGATGACTGCAAATGATCATGTATTCTCAACGTAAAATGATTATTAATATTGTGAGGTTATTGCATAATTAATTAATGTTGAAAGTTTTCTATATATCCAGATAATAGCAATAGATCCAGACAAAGAAGCCTTTGAGGTGGGATTGCCGTTTATCAGAAAAGCTGGTGTGGAGCACAAGATCAACTTCATTCAATCAGATGCTATGCCTGTCCTGAACGAAATGTTGAAGAATGTAAGTTTGTTGCTTATTCTTTGGCTAGTATATTGCAAAAGTGCAAAGCAAAGCAAACCAATTAATTATGGTAGAACTTTTGGAGGGCTTAAGCTTTGGTTGAGTTGCTTGCGGCTTAATTTAATGAATGTGGTTCAATTAAAGCTTCAGCCATTCCAATTAGTATGGTTTTCAAAACTGGGCAGGACTGGAAAAACTGGGAACCGGTTACTCGTTTTCTTCTAAACCCGTTTTTTTTCCCCCAAAACCGTTGATTTTGGTCAGCAAATCGTTGAACCGGCCAGTTAATCATTCAAACCATTTAAACCATTTGAACGGTTTTGACCGTTTTCCAATTTTTTTAATTTTTTTTTGTCAGAATGAACTGGCCATTTGGGTCAAAATGGTCGGACCGTTTAAACCGATAATTGGACCCCTGACCGGTCGATCACCGGTTCGTTTTTAAAAACCATGCCAATTAGACCTTTAGTACATGTTTTAGTGTTTGGTAAAGATTTCATATAGTGGGTTCTGGCTTTATGACATAAACCCCACTCTAATATGAGCTTATGGGCAATGTTTGGCCCGGAATGCCCAAAATAATTATCTCACAACAAAAAAATATGGCTTTCTGCCAAAGCTTCTTAGTGGTTTCTCCAAAGCATGCAGCTTAATTAAAACTTCAGTCCTCCTAAACATGTTTTAAGTTTTAAAGGAGAACTTTGAGGAAAAAGGTTATTTTGAACTCTTCAGATTTTTCAACAAAAATATGGCTGTGTTTGGTTGCAATGTAAATAAATTTGTACTGATGCAAAATCATGACAGTGCAAATGATTTGAGTGTAAATTCTGACATATTTTTGTTTCAAATTTTAGCTTTTTTTTTTGTTTTGTTGTAGTACAAATGAAGTAAATTAAGACATGGAGCAAAATAAAGTAAAAAATCCAAAACAAAATTAAACGAGAATTTACATTTTTTACATTTGCACTCCCATGCATTTGTAGTAGTGCAAATAAAATTGCACTGTAATCAAACACAGCCTTATGAAAATTTTCAGGGGAGGGGGGCACCTTGTAAAGCCGAAAGCAACCATGTGAAAGCTCTTCAAAATCACTTTGGATCTGCTTCCTACAAATTGTTCCCACATTCCTACCCCCAAAGCACTATTGCTATGTATTGGAAACATCTTCCCATGAATGACAAGGGAGATATTTCCAATGTATAGATATAACATCTCCTAAGCAAGGGTTCAAAATTTTGATACGTATTGTATCGGGGCCTTCTTGATTCTCCCCTACAGAGGGTGTTTTGGGTCGGCAAGTGGTTTAGGGGTAGATCGGCCTTAAACCGGCCCCTCTGAACCAAATTTGAAAAAAAAAAAAAAAAAACAGTACCAATACAGGCCGATATGCCCTACCAGTGTATCACCCTGTATCGATATTTTGAACCTTACTCCTAAGTATGTAGGGATATAAGAACAACTTGTGAGTAGCAGTCCCTTCTGAATGAGCACTAACTAGATAATTCCTCGATCGAGCTCTCAATAGGCATGTTGTGACTACAGGGTAAGCAAGAGGATGGTTTCGATTTTGTGTTTGTGGATGCTAACAAGGAAGCCTATTTGAGATATCACGAGGCTGTGATAAATTTGGTTAAGGTTGGAGGAATTATCGCATATGACAATACATTGTGGTTTGGCTCAGTTGCACTTGCAGAAGCAGATGAGATGCCACCATTTATCAAGAAGGACAGAGGCACCATAATGAAGTTGAACAGCTGTTTGGCCTATGATAATCAAATTGAAATATCTCATGTTTCCATTGGCGATGGGCTTACTTTGTGTAGACGTTTGTATTAACATGTTAAAAGAAGTTTTCTTGTTTTTAGCTACTAATGACAAAAAAAAGTCAATGTCATTATTTTAGTTACGGTTAATTAAATACTTATACTTTCCCACTTATATTCCCTCTATTTTATGAAATTACTATTTTACCTTTCATCAATGAAAATCATTAAGGTTGCGTTTGAAAACCATGCAAATAAGTGTGAATACAAATATGTAGAGTGTAAAATGATTTATTTAAATTGTAAAGTTGGGTTAGTTTTGCACTAACAAATTTACCTTGTTACCAAACAGATTTTTAGCTGTAATGGATGCAAACATGAATTTCAATAAAGCATATGCCCTTTTTATCAAAAACCCACTTGAATGTAAATTTACTTCTTTTTATTGATGTACTTTTACATCTTATTGTCAATGCAAATATGCATTGAAAAATGTGTTTTCTGTCATTTGTTAATGCAAAAATGTAATGTTGCCAAACACAGGCAAAAGTGAATCAGAGTGCACATTTACCCTGAACCAGGATTTACACTCCATTTGAATCGTCTCCAAACGCAGCCTAATAATTTTCCTAGCTTAAGGGAGGTATATGCCTTGTCTAGAGGTGAAGCATGGAACTAGTTGGTTCTCACCCATGAAATGACATAAACAAGCAATTTGGATGCAGTCTAGCCTTAGATAAATGAACTCTGAATGGCGGTGATGATGGTAATATGGATTTATTTGAGAGATCAAACGTATCCTATAGTTTATGTTTTATTTCCTTCGTTATCTCCTCTTCTATTTGAGAATCACTACAGAGTAGAGACTAAGGCTATGTTTGGTTTAAAGGAAAATGCAGGGAAAGGTAGGAAATCCTTTACAAACGTTGTATAGGCTTCCTTGTCTTTCCCTTCCTTTTCCTACCTTTTCCTTCAAACCAAACATAGCCTAAGGTTGATCACCCTACCGCATATCTCTCTCAAGTTTTCCAAATGGTTTTGAGCCTTTACGGACCATTATGAAGTTTTGTTATGGCGTCAAGATCGATTTTACAGCTTGAACATGGCTCCTCTTTGATGTGCCAAAGACTATCTCGTGGTGACTAAGTTCTCAAAAGATGACCTAATCTCCAAGACCAAAAGGTTCTTCACCAACTTGGTTTCGAGGAACATAAAGGAATTGCTGAAAACCCTAAGGCTATGTTTGAATTCCCTACCTTCCCCTTCATTTCCATACTTTTTCCTTCAAACCAAACACAGCCTAAAATCATGTTAAGCACTTATACCCATGGTGGAAGGGTTGAGCACCCACCAGAGATGCATATCGATTGGACCACAGGAGAGCTTCTTCAACCGATCCATCAAAGGAGTCAGCATAGGCTCATCAGCTGGGTCTTAGATTTTATGGAACATAACCAAAGGAAGCAAGAGTACCATAGCCAACATTCCCAAGCCTTTGGATAGAGTATCTAGGCATTTTGATTTAATGGTACTAATGTAAGAACACTTGCTATAGTTATAGAATGTGCACAAATAAGCATTAACTATATATGCTATATAGAATTTAGATTTAACTTTTATAAATGAAATCCAAGGCAAATATCCATTTATACAATTAATTGTTTTTTTTCCATATATATGAAAGCTATAGATTTACTTGAAATCAACCACATGAAGGATCAAAACTTCGACCAGATTGGGACCCATAACTTCTTTATCCTCCCCAACCAGCAAAACATCGTTTATAGTTTCTAGTGGCGCTGGGGACTAGTGGGTGCAATCTCATGGTCTCACAGTCGCAGAGGGATGCATGGATGTAAAACTATGTCCTTAACCTCATTAATTATAAACCTCTCCATTAGGAGATTTCTAATGTGATCTTGTCTTGTGATGATATCACTCGACAATGGAAATTATAGTCTCATTTGAGAAACTAGAGGGTTTTAGTGTTTGTCACATAGGGAAGGTTTAATTATTTAACCCTTTAATTAATTTACTATCATATTTGTCACATACTAGGGGGGGTTTTAGTATTTGTTTGGCTAGGCTTTTGAAAGCTACAAAGTCCAAAAAAGATCTTTAATGATTTGGTCTACATTGAACAATTTCTATCATATGGTCACTAAATTTGATTTGACAGAATGTGTATAAATTATTATTTTAAGGACTAATCTTCTTTTTGCATTTAAAAACTCACATTTTAACAGTAAAAAGAGTTAAATCCTTAAAATAAAGAATTTCAAATGCAGTCTAAGAGTGCTTGTTCAAATAGAAGATGCAAATCTAGTTCTAATTTGCACTTAGAGGGCATGTTTTGGCAAATGAATTGAATCTAAACTTTAATGTTTTATTAAGTTTTCTTTTATTTTGTTTGATGCATGTGAAGTAAAATAACACCTAAAACAAAATAAAGTAAAGTTTAGAATAAAAATAAATAAAAAATGCAATTTTTTTTCATTCAAACTCTCATGCATTTGTACCGGTGCAAACAAAATCGGGATGCAAATAAACAAAGCCTAATTTATAAAGTCTTGTTTAGTTGTAATGGGCGAAAACAAAAATCTCAAGGCTAATCTTTTATATTGTCTAAGAAAAGCAAAAAGGACAAAATTATTTTTATTTCTGATGAAAAATATACTCTTATTAAACGCCTGTAGAACTGAACAGGAATGCAAATTCGCTTGAATTATGCATTCTTGCTCTTAGCAAACGCAGCATATATGATATTATTATTATTAAATCCAGAAAAGTAAATGAATGAAAATCTTAGATAATTGTATATTAAAACCTTGTATTTTATTTTATATTATTTTTTATGTATTTATAAATTATATATTTGTATTTGTATTCCTTTCATGCAATAACACAATTACACAACCCAATGAACCAAAAAGGTCCACAAACTTTGTCTCTACTCACGAGGCGCTGACATTCCCATAAATCTGAAACGACTATTAACAGTTCTGTTCGGCTTTATACCTCAATTATTGGGTCCAATGGAAATACGACTATTTCTCCTCTCTAGTCTTTGGTCTCCGTTACAAACCGTACCGGGTCACAAGTTTAACAGTGCCTTCACTGCCTTGCCACACGGCTATCGCATACCGGTTTTAAACCATCAAAAACTCCCGTTCTTCCCTACTGCAGTCTCTGGCTTTTGTGATCTTTGGTATCGAAATTGTTATTGAGACAATAATTTCGTGTAAGGCTTAGTTTGGAAGGAGTATAAAATATGTATTATATAAATATATATAAAATAATACAAAATATAAGGTTTTGTGTTATACATATTTGTATTTATATTCTTTCTAAATGAAGTGTAAAAAAGTTTGAAAAATAAATGGTTATTTTTAAAATATTTTTTATAGTTTTATAAATTTATTAAAATCTATTCTATAGTTTGAATTTTACTAAAACACTCACTATAGTTTGTAATCAGTTTACTTAATGAATTATGACAGTTAAAAATGATAGTTTTGACTCTAACATCTATTTAAATAAATTCAATAAAAAAATAAAGATTAAAATACAATTTTTGTCTCTAATAAGACATGGGCAATTAGTCTATTTGATTCTATTTGGCCAATTTTATTTTTTATATGAACTGTTAGAAGTAATTTTGGAATAAATAATCATGGTCCATGCCCATATTTTTCATTCAATTTAAGTGATCATATTACTATTTTCAGATGATAAAATAAATATCTCCTAAAAAAGATTAATTAAATAAATAAATTATAAATTATAAAGAGTGTTTTAATAAAATGAAAATTATAAGGTAAATATGAAACTATAACACATGTTTTAATAAATAGATCCCAACTTTTATTATTTATTTCTGATCATTCAGTCATTCTCACGTGGGAAAAATGCTTTTCCTAATAAACGTGAAAAAATGATTTCTAAAAAATGACTTTTACAAAAATTGAGGTAAAGAATTATAATCATTTTTATCTGAAACCAACCAATCAATCAAATAAGAAACCTTTGAAATGCCTACGTGGCGCTAATATGATGACCAAACACCATCTTTGGATCAACCGGCTTGATTCGGTTTATAAGATTAGGTTCGGATGCCAAGTGCCTACGGCATAATCCGGCTCGTCCGGTCTGATCCGGGTGTCCGCTCCGCCTATAAAAATATTGGCGGCGAAGATAAGAACGAACCCCAAGGAAAGTATTGTCAAAATATAGTTTATAGCAAATATATGGTGTTTCAACAACAACCGTACTATGGTGTCCCCAAGCAATTTATAGGATTGGTTCGATGGAGTTAGACCCCACACTCCTCTTAAATCCTTCAGCTGCTCGAATCCGACGGTTGTGATATTACGGTCATGTACGGACTTCCTCATTAGATTATCATCACCCTAGTAGGTGAGCATAAGGAGCATCGTTATCCATGGTCCTCGTAGGCAATGGTCCTAAAGCTCAGTCTTCAAAGTTGTCAGTGATCGATTGAAGTTGCAGTGAAGGAGAGAGAGAGAGAGAGAGAGAGAGAGAGCGAGCGAGCGAGAAAGAGAGAGAGACAGTTAATAGAGAAAGAGAGCTTGTCGGTCTAAGAAATTCTTATTCTGTCCGTGTATGAGAGAGAGAGAGAGAGAGAGAGAGATCTCGAATCTGGGATCTGTAATTAAGCATGGAATTGAGCCCACGAAGTCCTGAAGCAAAATTAGGACTGAAAGTGGAGGATTTATGGGAAATTCAAGAGCCTCAATTGACACCGTCGGAGAAGCTAAACTCCTGCTTCGAAAGCATCCCCGTCTCCTCATTTCCCCCAGCCCCTTCTTCTGAAGGTCACCTCTCTTAACTTTACTTCATTTCTTTCGTCTTCAGTGCTTTTTCTTCTCTGTCCTTTTTCTTCTTTTTTTTTTTTTTAATTTTGAGTTGCTTATATATTAGGATTTATTTAATAACGAGCTTCACTTTTGAATCTAATTAATAGAAGATCAGTAAGGTAAGCATGGTAGGAAGAAAATTTCAGTGAATCAACGATCCTTCATCCAACTTTTAAGTTTTTACTCTATCAAATGGTGCCATTATCTTGACATCGAAGTAACTTTTTTCCTTAAGCTCGGCCTGTTTCGCCTTAAAAGGGCGGAAAACCTTTCAATCTTTTGAACCTCAGCTATACTATGGGTCTTTTACACCCAAAACTTTGTTCCACGTTCCTTTTACAAGGAAATAAATGCAGCCTAAACTATCACTTAAGTGATTTTTTTTTTGATAATTCTCACTTAAGTGATTCATCTACGCGTATATCACCTTCTCCATGCTTAGTTCATACCATTTTCTCGATTAAAGAATCTTTCGGAGTTGTGGAATGTTGATAATGCCATGACCAACTTGCATTAGTGTGAACAGGTAAAGCTACGTTTGCTTATGTTTCATTAGAAATTGGAAAATTACAAAGGACTGCCTAAACTACACTACCCCCAGTTAGAAGTTTTACCTCATCTTTAATAAATAAATAAATAAATAAATAAACTTACTAACAATTACTCTTGAAAGAAATGAAACCTTTTCCTCCCTCTTCCTTCGGTCAGGATTTCTTTTCCCGCCAACAGTGTCCTATTCCATAATGTTTGCACTGTTCTTCTATAAAAGCTATTGAATTTTGGAGGTTTGAACATGACGTCTGTGTCTGTATCTCTGTATTTGTAAATTAACAGTTGGTGGTTTATAACAAATTGATGTCTGTAACCTTCACTGAGATCTTAACGTATTAGAATTAGACTACAAAATAGAGAAGAACTCTGAGATCTTAACCTGAACCTGTAACCTGCACTTTATTATTCCAAAAAAAAACTGGCTAGTGATAATTATTTCGAGGACAAAACTTGTCAAAAACAATTTTGAGGAAAAAAACACTTTGATAAGGTTACATGCTATATATATATATATATGTGTGTGTGTGTGTGTATACACACAATGTATGCTATTTTGTCCTATAAAACATTATTAACAAATGTAAACTTCTAGACATTTTTATGGGTATATAATGTTACAATAAAAAATGGAATACCTTAATAGTTCATATTTTTTCTATATAGAGATGTCCATGTTTCTATGTTTTTTCACCTTGCTCAGTTAGACTATTATACAGACATTGGTTTCTGATTCCTGTCTCTGTGTTAGGGGTGTTCATTTTGAGACTGGCCTGGAAGCCAGGCCCAGCCCACAAAAATATATTATACAAATATATGTGTATATGTAATGTTTATAATATGGAAGATATAATGCATATTATATATTATATTATAGACTATAAAATACTTCATACATATATTGTATGTTATAAGCCTGGAAGACTGGCCTGGGCCTGTATAGACTCCAGCATGGGCCCGGACTTGAACCCTTATCATAGGTGCTAAGCCCGGCCTTGCCCAGCCCATGATTACCCCTTTTTCCTTTTTTTTTTCAAAAAAAGAAGCAGCCGAGCTATCATTGAGTAACTGAAAATTGTACAGATTGTCCTGGTAGGAGAGATACTTGTAGTTGTGCCTTACAGGCCACATAAGCTAGTGTCATAGTGTGTGTGCAGCTTGATTATCTAATCTGTTTATATAAACAAAAGAGGTTTGAGTTATATTAGATAGAAGACAACTACTTTTCGGCCAGTGTAGCCTCTCAATCCAGTACTTTGTCTTCATGGTGGTATTCAAAAAATCTACTAGCTGGAGAGATCACCCCTTCTCTGTGTCCATACAATGCTGTCCTATTTATAAGCTTATTTGTTACTTTCACCAGGATTGGAATAACTGTGATAAGCCTATTCTAAGGCAAATGTGCATGGTAAGTTTCACTCCTTGGGACTCCTACTTGCATTCGAACTCTGTGCATCATTGAATACATGCATATGGGACTGGAACTTATCATATTGGCATATTAACTTGGGAGTTCCTTTTTCTTTTTAATATTTTTGTTTACATAAAATCAGAGACAAAATGTCAACCAATTGGAAAAAAATTTTTGGCCTCGGTGCATCATCCTATTCATGTTTGTATGTCTGTTTTCATTTCAGTTTTATTGCACATTTTTTTTTACCATATGGCTCAGTTTGGGAAGAGCACAAATACAAATATGTACAGTGCAAATACAGGTTTAGAAATACAAAATACAAGGCTTTGCACTGTGTATTTGCACTCCTTCCAAACTGAGCCTTAGGACATGCTGGTAACTTTCAATATTTTCCACCTATCAGTCTTTATAATGTCTCTTCTTTGTTTTTTTCCTACATTGTCCAGAACTCAGAGTTGATACATCTCTGAAGAACATGATATTAAGACCCCTTTTCTTTTCCTTTTGACAATCTGTATCCAGTAATTGAGATTAACTCGGATTCCAGTCTGGCTGAGGCTGTCAGAATACTATCTGAACACAAAATCCTGAGTGCACCTGTACGGAATGTTGAGGCACCAGAAGATGCTAGTTGGATTGACAGATACATCGGCATTGTAGAGTTTGCAGGAATTGTTGTATGGCTTTTGCATCAGGTTTGCATACCAACCTTAAGTGGTTATATGTAACAATTACTTACATTTAGAGATACATTGTGTTAGCCTAATTGAGAAAAATAACAGCTACAACAATAATATAGGGGGTAAATTACAAATACCCTACCTGGGGTCTCCAATAATAACAATAAAAGATACTCTCACTTTGTCAAATAGCATATTGTCACATGATGCGTTTAGAATTTCATGATGAAAATTTTTAACCTTGCCAATGATTTGGTTCCCTTAAACCTTTTCAAGGATCAAATTGCCCTTTTTGGTACATTATTTGGATATTTCAGTTAAAAGTTACTTTAGTTTCCTTTGTAGGACATTTAGGTTAAGTATGATGACATTGAAACCAAGTAGATTGAAGATGATAGAGTTCTTTTGGTTTTTGGTGATCATATATTTAACAGGAAAGAATAGGAGCAATATTGGTAATATACAAATGGGGTGTAGTTGGAATAAGGATTCAGTATGTATGTGAAATATTAGAAGTTATTTATGCCATTGCATATTTGTCATTAAGAGTTTCTCCTTTTTGAGTTCTGTCTAGAGGGGTAATTGTAATTTTAGAAAAATGGGGTGGGTATCTGTTGTTGGAACTTGGAAACCCCAGGTTGGGCATTTGTAATATACCGTAATAGAGGCATTGTTCTATTTCAGTGTCTCAATGCTCAGATACAATTTATTCTAGGAATAAATGTTTATATGCACTGGAATGCTTTGGTGTTTAGACATATTAAGATGGTATTGAAGAAAATTCTGGGTTTCAATTTCTTTAAATACACTAGCATGACCACACCCCAAGTGAGCATCCATGATCTCTGGGAGTGCCACCTTGTTGAAGTTGCTACAGAACAGATGTTAGAATTTAGTTTTAATTTCTTGATAGAGTGCAATGTTGGGATAGGAATCATCTATCAAAAAAAAAATGTTGGGATAGGAATCATTTACCGGACCCAAATAGTTGGGGTTGAGGCTGTGTTGAGTTTAAGTCTTTCATTTTCTCTTCTCACTGTAAAGGATGGATTTTCCACTCTTATCAATTGAATACTATGAAGTGATCCAACAGGGATAATCTGGTTATTACATTATATGAATTCCAGAACTTCAGCTATTCTTGGGATCCCATATAAAAAAAAAAAGCTTTCTGCAACAGGAGATTCCTTTGAGTCAATGCTCATTGAAGATATAAAAAAAGTTCTCTCCAAATTCTAGAAACTAAAGACTAATACCCGTTTAGTCTGAAGAGAATGGACAAATATTGATCTGATTTAGGTTCTTATCTTCATTTGAGTATTTTTCACTCTTTTTAAGAAAATGGAGGGATATCTACCTTATACCTCTTATGTGAAACTGGGTTAAACAGGGCTGAAACTCAATAATCACTTTCACCGCCATCTAATTATTGTACCAGAAATATGGCATTGGTTACGTAGATCCTGTTCTATTAAATTTCTCTTTATTATGATAATTTAACTGGTCTGATTGCTTAGAAGTCTTGGATAAAAGAAGTAAAACTAGGAAATTACTGTCCATTACTTTTGAATCTGGTAACAATTAGGAGTTCAGCACTTGGTAGTTGAAGGAGACTCTCAAATTGTTGTGGGATGGCTGACAGACCCAGCTTCAGCCATGTGGTGACACAAAGACTTATTAAGGAAAGTCAACTGGCTTATAAGAAATATGACTGTTACCTCTCTTTGGATGGGAAGATCAGCAAACACCTTAGTGGATGGGTTAGCTAAGCAGGGGGCTACAAGGGAACATTTATTTTGGGCTGCTTTGTAATTGTATTTATGGCTAATTCTGTTTTCATTTTGATGTAATACTACTCTGAAGAGGTAACAGCTCGTGCCTCTTTTGGGTTCCCTGTACTGCCTTTTTTTCTGAATTAATAAATTATCTTCATTCATAAAAAAAATGAATAGAACAATTTAGAATAGGAAAGAATTATCAAAAAAAAAAAAGAACAGGAAAGTGCTGATTTGGCCTTTTCTTCTTGCCTTCTTGAAGTTTTTCTCTACCCTACCTGAAAACTGTAACAGCTGTTATTCTTGGCAGTCTGAAGTTGCAGCTACGACAATGGATGGAAGCTTTTTTGAGAATCTGGCTTCTTCTGAGTTCTACAAGGATACAAAGGTTTTACTTTTTATAATGCATAAAATTGGTTTCCGTTTTACCTCATCTTCTTTTCTGCTTCTCTTCTTTCACTTCAAATCTGTACCTTAAACCTTACCTGACAATCTCACAGGTTGGAGACATCTCAGGGACATTCCGTTGGGCCCCATTTCTTCCCCTGCAGAAATCTGATAGCTTTTTGACGATGTTGTTGCTTCTATCCAAATACAAAATGAAAAGCCTTCCTGTGGTTGACCTGGGGGAACAAAAGATTGATAACATCATCACTCAATCGGCTGTTGTTCACATGCTGGCAGAATGTGTTGGGCTTCATTGGTTTGAGAATTGGGGAAAGAAAAAACTCTCTGACCTCAGCCTTCCAATTATGAAGCCAAATCAATTAATCAAGGTGCCTTGTTGTTTTTCCCCTTATGTTGGTATCTATCTACATACATACATACATGCATGCATATGCATGCTCCTAAATATCTTCAGGTCCATTTGATTTTATTTTGGTGCCTGTCATTGTCCCATATGCAGTTTTAATGTTATGTGGTGCTAAGATGCCAAAATATGGATACTGACATAGAGTATCATACTTTAAAAGGAGATATGGCTATCCAGTTGAGATATAGGGCATGGATCATAGATATTGATAGATATCTATTGTGTAAAAAATGCCAAAGGCTAGGTCCACATCCAGTCTACCCCTCCCAAGACCCCAGATAGTCAGGACTGTCATTGGTAATGGACCTTGATAGATCTCCTTGTGTGGTGCTGATACCATATTTTTATGTTTATTTACTTGTTCTTGCTTAGTATCATTCTTTAATGCTTACAGCTTGCAAAATTAGATGAAATATAACAATTTGTTAAGATAAGGCGTGTACAAATTCCTGGTATATTCATCCTATATGTGTATGTGTCCATGAGGTACCCCTTGTTGTATTGGATGCACAATATGCCTGATACATGTAGATTAAGCATGTAAAGTTATCCAGATAATTAGAAATGTCCATGCATTATTTCTTGGAAAAATTGTGTATGATTCTCCTATACTTGTATAAGTATTGTTTCAAATGGAACAGCAAGTAATTTTTTGTTCTTAACCATCTTAGCATATTCAGGGATGACTTATTTGGTGATTAGAGAGTGGACCTCTGTAAGCTTTTCCAAAAAAAAATTGAACATTCTATTGGCTCTCAATCAGAAAGGAGTTGAAGATTGCTCCCAATTTTCAATTATATCAATACATGAAACCTTACTTTTCAACCAAAAGTATATGAAGCTATACTATGATAAATACCTTGTACTAAACCCAGGAAGATGTGGGATCTGAAGGTTTGATGAGAGGAAATTTGTTGTCAGGTCTCAGAATATTAGTTTTGATGGGATATGAGAAGATACGGATCGAGCAAAACCCTGATTTTAGTAAGATGAATGGACACAGACATATTCAGCAGTCCTTTGGGACCAATCTGCTAGATTAAAGAGAAGATATTGAACTCCACTGTGGACTCTTTATTCCATATGATTTCCTAGATCAGCCAAGTCTATATCTGGCAACCATATCAGGAATTTCAATGAGTGACCTACTTCAGTAGTATCATTGCCTGGATTGGTGGCTGAGTTCTTGGGATTTTACTTGTATACCTTCACTACTTCCACCGACACTGGTAAAAAAAATATATTTTGTGTGAAGGTGAGGTGCTACTGCTAGCTGTCTTCCAATTGTGCATTTCTGAAATCAGAAGTGGTGTGGCACAAAACATCTTAGACCTTGTATGATGTCCTTTTAACAAGAACTGGAGATGGAAAAGCCCTTATTTATTTAAAGTTGAAGCAATGGCATTGGAGGGTGATGTTTCCTTGTTAATTTATGTTAGGGAGTTATCATTCAACTAGTAATTGATCCTGAATGCCTTTTCCCTCTTTTTTAGGTGCATGAAGATGAACCAGTTATCAAAGCATTTAAACTGATGAGAGAGAAGGGAATTGGGGGGATTCCTGTGGTCGAAGGTGGAGGAACAAAGGCAATTGGCAATATAAGCATCAGAGATGTTCAGTTCCTACTAACTGCTCCAGAAATATATAAAGATCACAGGTCTGTTTCATTGTTATGCTTTCTGTATTTCATTGACTGTCTGTATTAACAAACAGCGGTTCCAGAGCATAAATTATTAAAAATAATCTGTTATTTTACAGGCTAGATTGTTGTTTCCAATGTTGTTTTGCACAATGCACTTTTGTGTTGAGTTGTCTTCCTATTAGCAGTATATTCTTTGAGTGGTCCATGTTCTAGACCAACCAATAAGTAGCTGACCAGATTGAATATAGAAGTAGGTTTGTTAATCAGGTTGTTAGTGAATTTCCCTGAGTGACCATGAAATCTTACATATGGAAAGCTAATTTGGACTTTGGAGCCCAAAAGGTGTCTCCATTTTTCTCTCCATCATGAGAAAACTTTCAAATCAAAATACATTGCAAAGCATACAAAATAAGCCTACTTTTATATGCAAATCTTATACTTTATTAGCTAATACAACTACACAAGGTGGGACACATGGATGGTATAGATTATGGGGTTGAACATGTGGCCAATCCATTAGGTCCCCTGTTATTGGCCACAAGATCCCTCTATTTGGGCTGATTGAATGTCAACTCATTTGTAAAACAAACAAAATAAAATAACTAATTAAAATGTACTTACAGTTTCCATTGCTATGGACAGATTTCTGGCTCTATTCTTTATCAAATATACTCAAAATGGACTGACCAACAACTTTACTTGATCCTCTTTCTGCTTCTTTAACCTTTTGATCTTGAAAATCTCGCCCAAGAGAATGCCAATGGAGCTGTTTGATCCTTTTCTTGCCTTTCAGAATTATTTTTCTTTTTCTATAGCACTTGACTAGATAGCTAGGGCCTAGTCTCCCTCTATCAACAGTTCCCTCTACTTACCAAAGCAAGTATGATGGTAGTTGAATAATGGGGCTTCTCTCTACCAAAACACCTTAAGATGAAGGGACCCTATCCACCTTAGACTCTAGGTGGTTCCTCCCATTAGGGAACCACTTCAAGCATTGACCAATAGGAATCACTCACATTCCCTACCTTTCCTCAACCATTCCCCTATTTTCTCTTATCCTTATCTCTTTCAAAGTTTTAGATAAAAGTTAGAGAATAATTAGGAGAGATAAGAGAGGTTATAGGGTTTACTAGCCTTGACTCAAATGAAGGGGAGTCCTAACAATTAGGGACCCTCAATGACCACAATGTAGGGCCATATATGTTGGTCTTTGTGGGTCCCACACTAACAATCTCTCACATGGACCAAGTGTGGTCAATGGTAAGGGGGCATAGATTGATCAGAGTTAATGGTGCTTCTCAAGCACTTAGGCAATTACTAATGTAAACAAAAATCATGGTAGTCCCTCCTAAGATTAGAGCTTTTGACCATGCATCATGATGTTTACACTTGTAACTCTTAGTGCAATGGATTATATTTACATGCCCTAGTTGTGTTTTTATGCTTGTCTATTACTATAATGTGCACAAGATAGATAGACAGGTGCAGGATTACAAGAACTAGAGAACTTGATGGCTGACACGTGTCATTATTTAAATTCTGCAAATTAATTGACAATTCTCATGTTTCTAACATGGTTTGTAAACACATTAGGAGGCAACCCCTTAGTCAATGGATTTGCAATCATAAGTTTAGTTCTTACACGCTCGATGATAATTTTCCATTCTTGCACTCTATCCCTCACTACTAAGTACTTTAAGTCAATGTACTTATTTTGGTTGTTAATTTTGTTGTTCTTCCAAAAGAACACAAATGCAAAATTGTCATAGAGTAGCATTATTGACTTATCCACATAGTCAAGCACTAAAGCAGCGAGTCCTGTGATGAAATTCTTCAACCAAATTGCATGTGTCGTGACATCATGAACATCCTATGAATTTTGCTTCCATTGTGGAGGGCGTCCTAAGTTTTTGTTTAGTAATTTTCCAAAATAGCTCCTCCCACAAGCAAAAAAACATATCCTAATGCAGACCTTTTGATATTAGGGCACTCGGCAAAAGTTGAGCGTGTAACCCAACAGCTCAAGTTTGTCTACTTTTTCTGTAACTAAGTGGTCCTTAGTTCCTTGTAAATGCCTAAACACCTTTTTTTGCTTTCCACTATTCTCTTTTTGGATTACTTTGAAACCCGCTCAACATTCACACTACAAGAGCAATATCAAGTCTTGTGTATAGCACATACATCATACTCTATTGCATATGCATATGGAAATCTCTCCGTGTCTTCCTTTTCATATAGGATTTGAGGACAGCCATTTATAATCAACTTGTCTCCTTTATTAACAAGCACTACACTTGGCATGCAATTCTCCATATCGAGCCTCTGCAATATCCAATTAATGTATGCCCTTTAGGATAAACCCAATGTCTTGTGGTCTCTATCTCTATGGATCTCGATACTTAAGACATAGGATGCTTCTCCCATGTCTTTCATGTCAAACTATTCAATAAGGAATCCTTTGATTTGGTTAAGTAAGCTAATGTTTCTACTAGCCATGAATATGTCATCAACATACAACACCAGCAAAATAAAGCTACTCCCACTAGTATTAAGGTATATACACTAATCAACAACATTCTCTTAAAAGCTAAATGACGTTATAATGCTGTGAATACCATTGACGGAAGGCTTACTTGACTTTTTTAACTTACACACCTAATGTTCATTTCCCTTGGCTATGGAACACTCCGTTTGATCCATGTATGTTTCCTCTTCAAGATCCCCATTTAGAAAATTTATTTTTACATCCATTTGATGTAGTTCCATATCATAGTGCACCAATAAGGCCATTATGGTTTGTAATGAATACTTTTTTGAAACAGGAGAGAAGGTTTTATTATAGTCCACTCCTTTCTCTTGTGTTATATCATTTTGCCACAAACTTGGCTTTGTATTAAGAATGGAAAGAGTGTCTCCTAATTTTTCCATAAATCTAGCTTTGTACCTCAGGCATAAGAACATAGTCAGGACCGGTAAATATAACCCACTGCATTGAGGGTTACAAGTGTAAACATTATGATGCATGGTCAGAAACTCCAATCTTAGGAGGGACTACCATGATCTGCGTTTATATTAGTAATTATCCAAGTGTTTGAGAATAACCATGAGTTCTTATCAAGCTATGCCCTCAGCCCTCTTACCATTGACCACACTTGGGCTAAGTGGGAGATTGTTAGTGTGGGACCAACAAGGACCAATGTATATGTTCCTGCATTGTGGTAGTCATTGAAGGTTCCTAATTATTAGGACTCACATTCAGTTGAGTGAGTCAAGGTTAGTAAACCCTAGAATCTCTCTTATCTCTCCTAGTTATTCTCTAACCTCAATTTGAAAAATTGAAAGAGAGATTAGGATAAGAGAAAATAGGGGAGTGGTTGAGGAACGGCAGGGGATGTAGGTGATTCTTATTGGTCAATGCTTGAAGTGGTTCCCTAATGGTAGGAACAACCTAGAGTCTAAGGTGGATAGGGTCCCTCCCTTTTAACGCTGTTTTGGTAGAGAGAAGCCCTATTATTCAGCTACCATCGTATTAGCTTAGTAAGTAGAATGAGAAAAGGAGACTAAGCCCTAGCTATCTAGTCAAGTGTCAGAGAAAAAAATATATAATTCTGAGAAAGGCAAGAGAAAGATGGAAAAGCTCCATTGCCACTCTCTTGGGTGGGATTTTCAAGGCCAAAAAGTCAGTAACAGAAAGAGGACCAAGTAAAGTTGTTGGTCAGTCCATTTTGAGTACATTTGATAAAGAATAGAGCCAGAAAATCGGTCCATAGCAATGGCAACTGCAAGTTCGATATTAAATAGTTATTTTATTTGTTTGTTTACAAATGAGTTAACATTTGATTTAGAACACCATCCAGATGACAGGGTTTCATGTAGGGAATATTCCCACTTGATCCAACTAGTGATTTTTTCCCCTTGCACGATAGTCATTCTAGATATGGGAACAGGGAGACCCTCTCTGGTAGTTAATTATACCATGACCAAGTGTGCTTATTTGGTATTTATCCATTTGCAGCTCCACCACCGCTAAGAACTTCCTGACATCAGTTCGAAAGTATCTGGAAGATCATCACGATGCTTCTCCTATGTTGCGTGGAACAATTACATGTAGAAGGGACAACACGGTTAAAGAAGTGATTCTGAAGCTTGACTCTGAGAAAATACATCGAATTTATGTTGTGGACAATGATGGGAACCTGGAAGGGGTGATTACTCTGAGAGATATTATCTCGAAGCTAGTGCATGAGCCCCCTCACTACTTTGGTGACTTCTTTGATGGTGTTGTGCCACTTCCTCTGAACAGCAGGGTTTGAAAGGACCTAATTCCGTGTGTTGACCGTTCCTGTTTTCCACCACTGATGAATATTCCGTTTTCACATCACCTGCCTCTTGTATGAATTTTATACTGGTCTTTGGTCTATAATTGGAGACATTGTAAATCTAATTGTACTCATGAAGGTAGGTATGCTCTTTTTTTTTTGGTTCGAGTTCCCTCTTGATCTGTATATTTTTCTGGCCTTTTCATCTTCTTTTGTCATCTGCTTTCATCTCTTCCGTCAATATAGAAGGGTCAGGACCTAACAGTTCAAGAGTTCTCATCCATGGTGAAGGCTGCAGGGCTGTTCTGAGAAAAGTCTGGGATGCATGCTTTAACCGAGAATGAATCCTTGGGCTTTGGTAGAGAGGAACGGAGTAGCAAGGATAGATAAAGGATCTGGAGCAAGAGTCAGACTGGACTATGATGTTGATGGGGCCTATCAAAAAGATTTTTTGTTGACATTTTTTCAGGGCCATGATGCAAGGAGGCGTCTAACGCTACTATGCTCGTGCAGTAATCCTCAATTGCAAGTTCTCCAAAGCATGAATGATGAATCTACGAAAAAAAAGAGAAATCATCAAGGAACTAAAATAAAGCGAAATTCTCATGACTAGAATTTGTTCTACATTCGCATAAAATAACTCTCCTCTAGTAGTTACTAATAACAGGAGAATGGATATTGTTTGAAGAAGCTTGGGTGAAGGCGTCAAGGGTGATCTCTGATTTGTGACGGTGATGCAGGTAGTGTTCGTAAACGCTTTTAATAAGTATTTCTTTTAAGACATGGGACCACACATTAAATGATTTTTAAGTATTAATAGGTGTTTGGTAAAAAAGTGGGGAAGAATTATTTTTTTAATGTACTTTGAAAAAGTGACTTCTGAAACTCTGAATGACCGGCGGACACATTGCCTACTGTGTGACAATGCAACGCAATACCGGGGAGGCGGGGGGACACATCAAAAGGATTCCCCTTTCTACTTTCTTTCCCCCTCCCACCTCTTCCTCCACCACCAGTCCACCACTCAACCTTCTTCACATTTTCAAAAACCCTAGTCAGAATCCTTACCAGTCACCGCTAATCGACCTCCCTCAAATTTTCTGCAACGGAAAGGATCAGGGACAGGTTAGAAGAAAAATAACAAGGACAAAAAAGATCTTCGAAATTCTTGTTCATTCTCTCCTCTTCAAGAAAAAAAAAGCAAGGAAAAACAAATAAGTTTAATTTTTGAACTTCCTTCTCTCCATTCCTGTTCAATCTATTCGAATTTGATCAGTTTTGGAAACAAGAGCGAACCCTTCAAAATTTATACAGAGATTGCAAATGCCTTCCAAAACTAGGTTTTGAAAATTTTCAAGGACCAGTTTCTTTATTTTTTCTTTAGTCGTTGAAGGAGAAGGGCATTTAGTTTAGACAAAAAAAAAGGAAAAAAGGGGGAAATGGGAAATATTGGAAGCAGTAGCGGTGGTGGTTGTAATAGTAGGCGAAGACATGAGAATCATCACAGCCACCCATCACCCCATCCTCCCCAACCTCCTTAGCCTAAAATCACTGGAAAATGCTACGTTTTTGCCGCAGCAACCCCTTACCCTCCCCAATACCCTAACTACAACTAGCCTTAGTACCATCAATACCCTGGCTATTGCCCTCTACCACCATCGACGATGTCGATCCCATTGCCCGCTCTATATGATCACCACCATCGTGGCGGTGGTGGTGGTCCCCATGTCGATCCTATTCATGCAAATTGGGCCACTGGGCATTATCGCTGTGGGATCTGAAACAAGGTTATTTTTATTATTATTATTATGATAATTTATTATTATTATTATTATTATTGTTAATTGGATCCACATGGCAGCCCATGTGGGGATCCATGTGGGATCTCAGTTGAAATGTATAGTATAACATGTGAAAAGTATTGTATATATGTACGAGTGAAGTGAGGGTTAAAATTGTCATTTGTATAAATATAAGCACTTGTGGGGAAAGTAGCTTACCAAACATTCCCACCCCAATAAGTACTTACAAATATAATAAGTGACTTGAAAAAGTGGGTTACCAAACAGCCTAAAGGGTTGTTAAAATAATTACTTCTTGTGAAACAAGTACTTAATCATCAAACAGGGTCGTAATGCAACCCGGATTTCCTACTACTTTCTCTACCCGTGCCCTACCCCACAACTGCAATGGCACATCTCACAATATAACATTGCGATGTGTGGCTGAAGGCGGATAGTGTGTGGATAAAGAGTAGTGGGCAGGAAATCCGATTTGGTTGTTAAGTTGGAACACTAGGACATAAAGAGGTGGAGCATATGCTTGGAGATTTGGAGTTTTAGGGTCTGTTTGGTGGGATCGAAATGGCCTATTTCCGTGTACTGTTTGAAATGGGAATTAGAATCAGCACGAATGAGATTTAATTCCCAAGGGAGGGGCAGGGAATGACCATTCCCTCAAATGGAGGAATGCCATTCCAGCAGAAATGGGAATGGGATTCCAGTTCCACCCAACCAAACAGTTGGAATCGGAATAGTCTATTCCAATTCCAATTCTAGACCCCTATTCCTGCAAACCAAGCAGGGCACTAGTGTTTTTTATTTTGGGTAAAATACAAAAACCTCCCCTCTATTTTTTAAAAATTCGACAAATACCTCCCTTTCATCAATAACCAACATGAAAAAACGTTAAAGTGATGATCAATCTTTCTAAAATACCTATTTTACCCTTTTACGAATTATTATGCTCTATTTTTACTAAAATACCCCTATCTCAACAATTTCATAATCCACTCGAATTGTTTATTTCTTCCTCATGAAGCACAGTGGCGGAATGGCATGCACTCCCCCCTCCCCCCTCCAACCTTCTACTTCAATTTCTTCTTCTTCTTCTTTTCTCTCTCTCTCTCTCTCTCTCTCTCTCTCTCAATTAATCTTTTCCCTTCCTCCTCATCTCCCATCGTTTGACTTTCTTCTGTCACTGCAAACACCCCCTCGGTTACCAATTTCATCTATTCGAGCGGCAGTAGTGGCTGAACTACTGTGACCACCCCATACCACTACTGCAACTATGGTCCCCATTTTTCTCAATCATTCTCTCTCCCTCTCTTTTTTCTTCCCTCAATTCCTTCCATTTGTAACCTGAAGCGACCGCCTCTACCAATCAATCCTCTGTTTTTCATCCGTCGACTAGGTCTGAATCTCTAGACTCCCTCTTAGCTTTTCTTCCATTATCTTTACATTTCTTGTTTTCTTTTTTTCATCTTTCCCTCTCTAGCATTTTTTTTCCTTTTATTTTATTCCCATACCTCTCCACCATGCTTCCTCCTGTAATGAACGAGAAATTAGAGTACAGTTCCCATTGCTGAACGAAATTCCTAGTATCATTGTTGGACGGGTACTGGGAATCGGTAAGCATCGACATCGGATGTGTTAGTGGACTAGATAATTAAGCTGTAAACACCATTTTCCCATCCCTATGCAGTGAAACTTTGTATTGATGACCATTGACGGGTCTGTCTCGGTTCATCCATACAATTGTCTTGTCCATTAAGTTGGTATACCAGATTGAGAAGTTGTACGGTTTGTGCCCATCGGGTAGAATCCACAGATGAACCATTTGTTAGGGGAGATAAGAACGTTTGAAGCAAAATCTTCGATGATAGACAGGAACATCTATTCAAATAACTCCTTGGGGTTGAAATTGCAAAAGAAGAGTAAAAGAAGAAGACACTGAACATAAGAGAAAAAAGGGATGATTGGACAACAAGGAATTGGGTGTCCCATGTTGGAATAAAGATAAATTGATCTTAGAATTCATCTGAAATATTTTTGGAAAATTTGGGTTCCAGCCTGATTTCTGGTTTCTGTGGACAAACATCGAGTTAATGCTTTTACGAAGGAGGACACTCAAATTTTCAGCGGTAATAACGTAAAGGCCATGAATGAAAGGGAACATAAAGAATAGTCATCGGCTAATCATCGCCAGAGGCTCATCTCCTTTTCTCTTCAAGGTTCATTGAATTCATTTTCATTGGAAGTAATCAGTGTTCGGCGGAACCAGTAGTTTGCTAGGAAAGTTACTCAATCAAACTTCACCGAAATTGGCTATTACCGTCAATTTTTTAAAGGCACATGTGTAGAAGTTCTGGAGGCAGTTCCGACAGTTTGTGAGAGAAAACTCTTACAATTGCACATCTTCGCAAGTTCTAGAGGCAGTTCCGATAATTCGTGACAGAAAACTCTTACAATTGCATATCTTCACAAGTTCTGGAGGTAGTTCCAGCTAATAGAAATTGTTTAGAGTCGGTGAAGGCCAAGCTGGAGGTTGGCGTCCTTACAATCTCCTTGGCCAAGCTGTCCGTGGACTAGATCAAGGGCCCAGAGTGGTCGGAATCGAAGGTGGTGAGGGGGAACAAGCAAAGCTGAGTGAGGCCAGTACTAGTCGTACCAAAACACAAGAAATATATAAACTAATTAAAAAAGGGTATAATGGGTATTTATTTGATGCATGGGTTTAATGTTTTTCGTTTGGATCAATGACGGAAGGGAGGTTTTTGTTGAATTTTTTAAAAATTCAAGGAAGATTTTTGTTAAAGTAAAATTACAGGAGAGGTTTTTATGATTATCAGAAACTTAAGGGAGGTTTTTGTATTTTACCCATTTATAACGGAATAAACAAGAATTTAACGATGAAAAAAAGTTTGACAGAGGAGGAGGTAAGAAAAGGGAGGGATAGATCTCTAATCAGCCGATAGTGGAGGTGAGGGGAACTTTTAGATATTTTATCAGCCGATATTAACAATGGGTCATGAATTACGACAAATATGGTGATGACAATGACAGTTTAAAAATAGCGACGATGACTACTCAAAACTTGCCCTAGAGCTAGAAGCAAGAGGAATTGAAGATATCGACACCTCAAAGCGAAGTTACTGGTTGCCTACAAGAAACCAAACCTCTGCCTGGCTTTAGCGAACGTTGCCAGGCTAAACAAATGGAATTTTTCCCCAACCAAAAGCAGGGAACAACTTACATGACAGGCATCATTGGGACGAGAACGTTTTTGTTTTTATTTCTTTTTAAAATTGCATGTCAGTAGAAAAATTGAAACACGTTCTTGAATTGTGTTTTTGACCTTTTGTTTTGAAAAATATGAACAAGTTGGCATATGTTGCTTAAAAAACAGTTTGTGTTTTTAAAACTGTCGAAATAATGGATTTTAGAACAAAAACAAATTTTATGATATCAAAACACCAGATGGAAAAATGCTCTTTAAAAACAAAATACACATACAAAACCAGCAATATGTTTTACTGTGTTTTTTGTTTTATGAACCAATTCACATTGAAGAGCACTCCCGAAATTGTAATCCACAAACCTCATTCTACTTTTAAGGCCATAAATAAACATGGTGGTACCTTGAGAATAAAATCAGCCGGTTGCACACTGGAGGCATTGATACGAAACCTTCCTCTAATGTGTAAACAAAATTGCCTGCAAACAGGACTAGATCCCCTTCTTGGCTAAGGCCATTAACTAACAGAACACAACTTGGGGGAAATTGATCATAAATCATAATTTATAAGTTCTCGGGTTGAAGAGATTTTCAAGGCTTAACCTAATCTTCCTGCGCGACAATCCAATTATGATCTATAGTGATAGATGAACAACCTAGTAGGCTAGTACTTGATGTCCATCTTGTGTAATCCATTATCTATAAACTGCCTCTTCAACCTTTCTTTGCTTGAAATGCTCTTCTGCCCCCTTTTAACTTCCGCATCTCCCCAAACAGGAATGCTCCTCACACACTTCAACGGTTCAACCAAGGCGGGTGGACCTTACCCTTCCAACACAAGGATGTCAGGAGTGTCTTGTAAGCATCCAAAGTAGGAGTACAAATATTCCTCACCATTTGATCAAAGACCTCTCTTAACCCTTTAAATCCATTTTATAGAGTCCAATATTGCATATAAGTTTTCTTGGTGCAGGAAACGGGAGGCTAGAGTCTTCGCCTATTCTGTCTTCAGCACCATTAACTGCCTTTTCCACACTTCTTTGTTCCGAAAAGCTCCTCCACCACTTTATCTTGCACTTTTTTAACTAAGAAGGCTCCTTATGCATGTCAATAATAGGACTGAAAGCTAGTGGTGACTTCCCCTTCCAGCACAAGGATGCCAACTGCCCAGTGTTTAGTGAACATCTAAAGTGGGAGGACACCCATTCTTCACCATTTGATCAAAGACCCCAAGGGTATTCTCATCTCTGTTAACTTGAGGGCTCTACTTAATGTTTGCTACAACCCCATACAGCAAGCTGCATGAGGTGTTGTAGCTTGTAGGCCTTAAGTATCAATCCTAACTCAAGCTTCTCCATCTCATTGAAGTTCTGTTGTGCTTCACCAATTAGCCCTTCGTTACACAAATCTCATTGAAGTTCTGCTGTGCTTCACCAATTAGCCCTTCTTTACACAAACCGCAAACAAAAATGGAATAAGTAGCACAGTTAGGGAAGCAATTATCCTTCAAAATCTCATGTTGGAGAGATTTAGCCTTGTCCAAAAGAACCACCTCAGAAAAATCCTTGATTAAAAATCGAGGACAAAACCTCTCCCCATCTTCTTGTTCAATAACTACATTGCATCATCAGCTTTATCTGCTTTTGAGTACACCTCTCCCCATCATCTTGTTCAATAACTTCATTGCATCATCAGCCTTATCTGCTTTTGAGTACCCCTTGATCATAATAACATATAATACAAGGTTAGGGAATATGTTCTGTTCAAACATTCTCCACCACTTAACACCAGCTCTAAACAATCCATCAATCAAACAGCTATACCCATTTAACCCCAGAACAAATTCATTCTTACTTAATGATCCGAGCAGCTTGAGAGCCTCGTCTATTCTATCCAATTTAGATAACCCATTAAGCCCGTCTATTCTATCCAAGAGTCTGTATGCATCACAGTTCTCTTAGCTTGGCAGAGACCATAAAGAATTATGTTATGGATCATTGTGTTGGGAGAAATACCTCATTTTGTCATTTAGTCAAACATTTGGAGTATGTCCTTGGTTTTCCTTGATTTGCAGAATGCATCAATGAGAATGGCAAAAGTAGGTCAAGTCAGATAGCAACCAGACTTCACAATTTGGCTATAAACTGCCAACACTAAACATAAATACATCTTTCTTTATCAGAAGACATATGATATATTGTAAGTACTAAGTAGTATTTAGCCTGCAATCAAGTTTTTTCATCCTCCCAGACAACTCAACCACCATCTAAAACATTAGAGTTCATTAAGCAATTTCCAGTCCAACTCAAAAACAGAGCATATTAATTATAAAATTGTGGGATATCAACTGCAAAACCGCTTTCATTTCATCACCTAGATGAAATCAAAAAACCCAACTAGAGATTTTGCTATTGTTGAAGAACAGAAGTAATGATGTTTTGCAAACTGAAGGGACGGCCTCTCGAACAGGCCTTCAATGGGAATGGCAGTGGCTAGGATGGTTTGTACTTCGTTGGAGACCGTGAAGTCAATATTGGAGATGTTTTCTTTTTTGATAATTAATATTGGAGATGTTTTCTTTTTTTGATAATTAATATTGGAGATGAAGGTTTTTTTTTGATAATTAATATTGGAGATGAATGTTTTTTTATAATTAATATTGGAGATGAATGTTTTTTTTTATAATTAATATTGGAGATGAATGTTTTTTTTATAATTAATATTGGAGATGAATGTTGAGAAATGGAAGGAGAAAAACCTGTTCTTTTGAGGTGGATTGGGAGATGGGTGGCAGAATTGAAGAAGATATTTTCATTATGATGAAGAAGTATTAGATTCTGAAGGTCTGGTTTTAGAGGATTCAAGGGGGAAGGTGGTCTGCCGTCTGCCCATCTCAGACAGCAGTAGAGAAATAAAAGAATAAAGGAGGCATTCTTAGACAGAGGTTTTGATTGTTCAATTGTGAATGTTGGAGTGCCATCAAGATTTGAAGTTTATGGTCATTTCAGACGAATACTTCCATCATGTCTGAGCTATCTGAGGTGTCTTATGACTTCAAATGCCATATTACATAGATTCTGGATTTCACCCACTAAAAGACAAAACAAAAGTCATGCAGTTCAGCAACTTCACCAAGGATTTGTGATAACTCTTGAAACAGATCAAGGTTTGAACTTTAAAGGGCAAAGGTGGAGGCAAGGCGGTTGGGTCTTGGAGAGGGAAGGAATTAGAGTAAAGGTGTTTAGCCACATTAAGCCTGAGGATTTGTAATAACTCTTGGTCAAGGTTTTAAAAGATCAAAGATGGAAGTGTGACAGTTGAGTCTTGGAGAAGCAGGGAATAAGCCTCAAGACCTGCGTGTGTGGTAGTTGATGCTTTTTTTTTTCAATTATCAAAAAAAGAAAAGCCTCAAGGCATGTGTGTGTGTGTGTGTGGAGTACAATTTATTTCTTTTATGATTTATATTCAACTTATATATTTCTTTTTTAATACATACATAGTCTTTTTAATATGAATTCTATGTTTATGAGATTTTGTTTTATATTTATAACATTTTCAACCTAAATGAAATAATCTGTTCATTTACCTACATATATAGATCAAACTAAATTTATTGGTGAATTTTTTATGTATTTTGCAATGCAATTTATAGGAGGTAGAAATATAACATTGAGTTAGAGCACTTATAAATGGTAACTCTGAACTTAAAAAATATGTAGCTGTATCTGTAACATCATAGCAGTTAGATGATGCAAGCAGCCAAGGATATATCAATGAATTCCTTTAGTTTTACAGAATTATGGGCACAGAACTACTTAAAATCTTAACTTGAATTCACAACAACAAATTAACTTGAGAGGACTTTTTTTCTTTTTGATAAATAGTGAAACTTGACGGGATTCACAACTGAAGAAGATGAATATTACATTTACATAATTATTACAGTATATGACGAGTATGCCTAAGTACTCCAAAATGATGTGATTATGACATTAAAACAACAAGGAATAAAAAGCATACAAGCTGTAACTTAGCAGGCAATTTGAATTCGGAACAAGTCTCTGATGTGACCAGAACGCTGACCTATACACAAATCCCAACTGCTATGTACTGAGTTTTCTCCTTGGATTGTGCAGAACTGCAGGTGTTCCTTCAAACAAGTCCAACAAATAGTTCTCTAGATCCTCTGGTGTATACTTTATGTACTTCCCAGCATGTCTTCCACTTTCAAGATGGCTACCGAACCTCCCCACAAATGAGCGATATGCTGGAAGGACTTTCTCTGATATAGATATTCGAAGTTCTTCTCGAAGTTGAGGATCTGGAACCTTCCATGCTGTCTGATTCCTACAAATTTCTTCAAAACCCAAGTTAAAGCTCTTAAACCTCTCCTTAAGAGCTACCTTGGATACATTACTTAGGCTCCCACCACCCCCAATACCTTCATCCTTTAAGCAAGATAGCACCTTGCTCCAAGAAGCTCTAAGATAACTCGTAGCATACTGCCGTATCTGGCTGCGACGCTTTCGGACCCAGTGATCTCCCAAAAGCTTGCCAAGCTCAGAATCTTTCACTTTCTGAACTATGTAAAGTATATTGTTCATCAGGAATACATACTGCATTGCAGTATCCTCATAGTACTTTGATTTTTCCTCAAGGTTTGATTCCAGAGATGAAATTAATGATCGCAAACGGTTACCTATTGGAGATGTGCTGCCTAATTTCAAAGCCTCATCATTATCACCATCGAAGCGATCTGTATCATCAGTACTGCCTTCTAGGAGAAAATTTAGTGAATCACTGTAATCTACAAGCAATCTTATATAATTCATCACATAACGTGTCAGTGGGTGAACCTCACCACCTTGGATTGTTTTGCGTGACGTCTCGCTTTGAACAGCATTTTCAAACTCAGCAAATGTGCCTTTTGCTGCCTCACCTAGCCCAGCCAGTATACCCCGTGCCTCACCATAGACAAAATTGCAAGATTCATCAGAAAATAATGATTGCAAATCTGGCAACACATCTGCTAGTGCCTCATACATGTCAAGTATCCGAAATAGCTTCTCTGAAGACCTTAGTCCAATTGCAATTGCCTCACCAAAATTAAGCAGCTGCATCACACAGCCTTTTGCAGTCTCAGAAAAACAGACCTCTTTGATCAGTTCAGAACCACCAAAAACTTGATCACAAAGCCGCCTCTCCCCTATCAAAATAACTCTAACCACGATCTTAACAGCCTGGATCCACTTCTTCATCTTCTCATCCAGTGACTTCCACTCAATCTTCTGCACTTCCTCAATGCTCAGCTTCTCGATGCCAAGAATTGATAGACACTCATCCAAAGTATCGCGACGGACACTACAGTAAACCTGACAGCACTCCTTCTCATACCCCGACCTAATCATCCTGTCGGCTATCTCCTTGAGGTCAGCAATTGCATCCGGATGGATCAAGTCGGCAGAGAGATCATCCCCTAAGATCCCTCCTCTCTCCTCAGAGCAGCTCTCATGTTCATCCTCAGCAGAGCTCTCAAAGTCCTCAATGTCTCCATCGTTGGAGGTAAATGAGAGCGAAATTCTACGGATTGATCCATAAAGCTTCTCAGCATCGAGAGGGACCGTGTTCCGGATCAGGATGTGGCGGAACTCCTCCTCAAGCCTTGACATCGCAAGCTGCAGAACGCTCTCAGCACGGTCCATGACTTCGCCGTCCGATGACAGCGTCAGATCCTCAGTCAACTGGAGGATCTCATCAACGGCCGAGAGGTAAGCAGCCGCCTCATCGGGGGAATCCTCCCAGGGTGAAGAATGATGCCGATAAGTACCCGACTTGGATTCCCATCGAAGAACGATCTTCTCTGCTTCTTCGAATCGCTCTTCAGTCTTGCTCCGACCGGCACCTCCACCGCCTTTAGAAAGCAACTCGGTGATAGTAGAGAGACGATTGTCGAAGCTGGAGAGGATCAAAATCATATCCTCCGTAACGTTTTTTGAAGTCCCTAAGCTCTTCACAATCTGTTGAGCTGCGGCCATTACCCTCTCATCTCCATCAACAGTGGCCGCCATCTTTCCCTAATTACTTCTGATCTTGATTCTTCCGATTTAAAGTTTGGTTTAATAAATTAGGGTTTTCAACGCGATGGAAAGAAATTGAAGAAAGGAGGCAAAAATGATTGAAAAGACTGACCTGTTTCTATAATTTAGGGTTTCGGTCGAGAACTTCAAGCTGCAATTTCCATCATCACCATGTCTGCACTGTCATCCGGCCTTGCCAGGACGTTTGGCCGGCTCAACTCAATTGAACGCCTCTACTTCAACTGAAGAACGTTCGTTCACTTTTATCCTTGATCCTTCCAGTGTGAATTAGCTGGACTTGACTTCCTCCGTCGAGTTCAGTTCGCTCCTTAAAACAGTAAAGAAGGATGAAGTGCTCCTTTTCACGGTTAGATGTTAAACCACGTAACTGATTGGCCAGCTTGACAGATAAAACTTGTAAGAACGCGAAACCGGATTTGCGTTTTACACCAACCTCACGGCACATCGCAGCCGTGTAATAGAAACATCTTGCCATAAATGACAAAATCAAGTACGGGAAAAGTAATGTTTAAAAGAGGCTGTGATGTTGGTGTGAGGCGCGATTTGCAATGAGCAAATCCGGATTCAAAGAACGCGGTCTGTTGACCGAGCAACCGTCGAAAGCAATAAAGAAGAGTGACAAGAGTCTGTTAATCCGTCAAGGTTTATCGGTTGGACTTCACATCTGCGCCCCACACAGCACATCTTTGTATTGGGAACATCTTCCGATAATTGTATTAATTTAAATCTGCGCCCCACCCGCTCTCGCCCCACAAATTCCCCACACGTCCGTAGTGCGCCATCTGTCCCTTCACACGCTGTTCGCTTTTTCCGCATGCGGGGCCAACAGGACGTCCGTTAACTCCTCCCGTTAGCCCCAAAACTCCCAAAACATATTCTTTGAAATCTCAAAATCCTATGCAGCTGGTCCCTGACCCCTCGTTCTTCTCCCCTCACCCGACTTCTCTTCTCCTTCTCCGGCACCGGCGATCTACAACAACCGGCGGGTACTCTCCAGCTCAACTTTTTCACACATTTCCTATTTTTTCTTTTTTTTTTTCTGATATTTTGGTTTTTCAGAAATCAGAGAAACCGGCGGCAACAGTACTTTGTCCTCCGGATCCGGCGATCATCCTGAGGTACTCTCCAGCTCTCATATTTGAACTTCTTTCACACATTTCTTATTTTTTTCTTATTTTTTTCTGATGTTTTGGTTTTTCAGAAATCATAGAAACCGGCGGCAACTTGCAGCAACATGTGGAGCAGTGGGAGCACCACTTCTTGTGCTCAAGCTCTCATCCACTCTTTTGTATTCGGCAGCCACTGGGATGCTGCTGGTGATTAACAAGATCCAGCCATCTCAACTAGCCGAGGAACAAATAACGCTGATAGGCTGTTCAAGCAGCTTAATGGGCAGATTCGAACAACCCTTGCCCTTGGCAATCCTACTACTATGGATGTCAAGGACGCCATGGAGAAGGTATTGGCACTTGACAAGGCCTACCCCCTTCCCCTGCTTGGAACAATGCTCGACAAGTTCCCTGCAACTGTAGAGCCTGTTGTGTGGTGGCCGCAACAGCAGAAACGCCGCAGTCATCGGAGAGCCGAGAAGAACGGCTGGAGTGGGAAGCTGGAAGAGGAAATGAAGCAGATTGTAGAGCTGCTGAAGAGGAAAGATATCCAAGAGTATGCGAGGTTCAGAAAATTAGCTTAAGTTAGAAAGATCTTAGCAATTACTGGTCCTTTACTCACTGGCCTGGCTGCCGTTGGGTCTGCTTTGGTGGGAATGGGATTGCTGTTGCATGGATCTTGGGCTGTGTTTTTGGGTGTGGTTGCTGGAGTTATGGAAAACGTGGTGAATACCTTGGAGTATGGTGGGCAAGTAGGAATGGTGTTTGAGATGTATCGGAGCTCTGCTGGCTTCTTTAGACTCATGGAAGAGTACATAAAGTCCACTGTCAAGGAAGGGAAAGCGGGGAGAAGAGAGAATGGAGAGTTATTTGAAATGAGGGTGGCTTTACAACTCGGTAGGAGCATTTCAGAGCTTAGAGATCTCGCTGCGTCGTCGGCATCTTCATCAAGAGAGTTTGCAAGCAAGCTCTTCTGATTTTTTTCACTGGATCGATTTTGATACCTACGTACGTGGTTACACAAAGCTTCCTCTGGTGTCTTAATCCTCAAGGCCCCTCAATTTCACGGGAGGGGCTAACGGACGCGCACGCGGGACAAGCGAACAGCGTGTGAAGGGACAGATGGCGCACTACGGGTGTGTGGGGCATTTGTGGGGCGAGAGCGGGTCGGGCGCAGATTTGAACTCTAATTGTACAGGAAATGATGAGATATCACTGAGAGATGTTTCCATTACAATATGGGATGTCTGCGGGGCGTTGTGGGGCGAAGATGTGAATTCTCCATTGATATTGGTTGGTAATTACGGATATTTATTGAGTCCGGATCTCCTCTACACGAGAACTCTGTCCATATTTATTGCAGCTATATATATGTAGAACATCTCATCTTATGTATAGTATTCTGTAAGGGGTAGTGTATTATGGGTAGGCGTGAGTAGGAGATCCAGAGTCATATTTATTACCCTTAAACTTTCATTTGTGACAAAAGACTTTCTTAACTTTCATTTTGCAATAATGAGGATGAAATGTATTAAATTAGCAAAATATTTATTTGAACTTTCTTTATTTTTTCTCTTTGTCATTTTTCTTAAACCTAATTGATCTAAAAATACATTCATTTTCTCCAAAGACTCCTAAGGGCTGCATTTGGCATTCTTTATTTTAAGGGCATTTAAACTGCAAAGATAAATCTTTAAAATAAGGAATGCCAAATGCAGCCTAAGAACTATTATCCTCTTTAAATTTCATTTGCAACAAAGACACCTTGATCTTTCAGTTTGCAACAATGCCCCTTAGCCATTAAAATAAGATAACAAAATGTAGTAAATTATCAAAATATCCACTTGACTTTCATTATTTTTTCCTCATTCTTTTCTCTTAAACCCTAATTGACCCAAAAATATCTTCAAGAAAAATACTCCCAGGGTTAGTGACTATTAGGGATGCAAGCAGATCGAATCGGATTCAAATCAACGTATTACGAATCTGATCCGACACTATTCATGTTGGATCTGATCCGATTGGATTTGAAAAGACTCAATTTGAATTTGAATCCTATCGATAAGTCGGATCTTCGGATTTGATCCAATCCAACTTGTTTTCTTTAAAAAATAATAAATTATTGAAAGAAAAATAAATATAGTAATTTAAATAAAGTAAAAACAAAAATATAAATATTTTTTAATTATTTTCATCGTATATACACGCTTTTTATAACAAATTTATAAAAATATAATATAAAATATATTTATAAATAAATAAAGAACATATATGTATTATATGTTTATATTTATAAATATATAATAGAGGAGTGATTCGAATTTGATCAAATAGGATCAGATTGGAATCCATTTGCACCCCTAGTGACTATTACACCTTGAACTTTCACTTTACAACAATACCCCTTATTCATTAAGTCAAATGATGAAATGTATTTAATTACTAAAACATCCACCTAAACTTTCCTTTTTTTCTTCGTACTTTTCTCTTAAACCCTAATTCATCCAAAAAAATCTCCATTTTATCCAAACAAAATTAGCTAAAATAATAATAATCATGTCAATAACATAGAAAAACAACTCTATGTAAATTATTGTTTCATTTCATTGACATGAATGCATGATGCATCTCATCATCTTAAAATATAAAATTACCCACTCCTTTCTACAATGAACCAAAAATAAATAAAAAACAAATGAAACCTTAAAATTATATCTATTATAAAGAAACCTCCACCATTTCATCTAAATATTGAATCTAGCAACCAATCTAAAAGGATCTACTAAAACAAACTAGAGGAATTCAATATTATATTTAGAAAATTAATCTAATCACAAATCGTTCAAATAAATAAGAAAAAGGTAGATTTGGAATTTTAAAAAATTTAAATAGTTGGATGAGAATCTTTTTTGAAATTAACTGGTGGGAATCTAATGGATGGGATACTTGTTGCAAAGTAAAAGTTTAAGGGATCTTTTATCAAAAATGAAAATTTAAGGGGGTAATCATCGCTGATAATTGCCTGTATTTTGTATACATATGTAGATTAAATTTAGTTATTTTGGGGTATCCAATATTTCACACCAGAGGGGATTAAGGAGTGGGGACAGATCAGGGTGCATCATGCACGTGAAAAATCCAGTCACCTCATAACGGAGAGCAGTTACACGAATTTGATCACAGAGGGATGCAAGTTACCATTAGACCTGTTTATGGGCCCGACGGGCCGGCCCGACTCCCGGACAGGCTTGAACAGGCTTTTTGGCCCGCGGGCTTAACCTCGGGCCAAAAAGCCTGACTCGCATAAAATTCGAGCCGGGCTCGGGCTTTGCCAAAATAGCCCGGCCCTGCCTGACCTATAGTTAAACCTAAGTAAAAACCCTATGTGATGTCTATTTGAATAAATTTTTTGATTTGAGAAGGTTGTTGATTCACTTGTAGGTCCATTGTTCATTTAAAAAGGGGAAAAAAACATCTGAATTAAAATAGATAATGTCTATTTGAATAGGGGAAATTTTGATTTTCTTTTATTAGGTCGGGCTTCGGGCTCGAGCTTGGGCTTCTGGCTTTTTATCAGGGCCGGGCTCGGGCCCAAGTTCTAGGCCTGTTGGTCGGGCCGGGCTCGGGCTCGGGCCTATTATTTTTCTGTTATTGAACACTAAAACCCTGGCCCGAGCCCGGCCCAGCCCGGCCCATGAACAGGTCTAGTTACCATATCAGTTAATCACGTGATCAAACCTGTGTAAAGCTCGCTCACTTACCCCCAGCTGTTAAAAGTATATATTTTTTTTTATGTATTTATGGCTTATTTATTGTCAATTGAATTGTAGAATTCATATTTTTAATGTATTTATAAGATTTGTCAGTTTTTTTAATGATATCTAATATATATCTCAAATATTCATACGATATAATTGTCTTTCCAAAACCTTTTATGATACATATACTTTGAATCTTGTTCCAAATTCCAATCGCAAACTCTTATTCACATTGTCGATGACTTGGTACTTGAGATGATTACTTAGCATAGCTTATAGGGGGGTATTCTTTTCTGGATTTTGAGAGGGGGTGAGGGGTTGGTCAATGAGATTTTGATTCTCATTCATCAAGAATTCTATGATATTTTTTTTTTCCATTTAAGTGATACCCATCTTCTAGTTGGGTAAATAACTTTTTCACGGAGGGGAAAGTTGTCAACACTTGAATGGGATAAAAATACCCCTTTTAATAATAGATTTTTA